GAGAATCACTTCTTGCAGCTTTAAATATTGCATGCTAGGCATAAATAATGGCTTCTGAAAAAATAATAAATGCGGTATATCTTATCAATTCCTTAAAGAAATATCATTATATCAGTAGCATTTCTATAAAATTAAAAAGGTATTTGAAAAGGTATTTTGGCACTTTAAAGCAGGTTGTTTTTCAGGACCACACTGCATGGGACATTTGAAGCCCTTAAACTCTAATATGGATAAGATTATCATTTTTGGAATAAAAAATCATTCCAGATGTGTTGCCCTGCCTCTAAAGTTACTCCAAGATAAAGGACTTGAAGCATCATCTATATCATCTCATAAAGCTATTTTCTTATGATTTCTAGCATGTGATGGATGTGATGGTAAGATAATAGGATGAAATAAAGCGCTGACATTTTACAAGTATCCAGGCTCTCAGGTGTGTGGCCAGCAGTAAATCTGTTTATTTTTAATTTCACAGAGCTTTGACGGAGGACCGGGGCTTCGGTAAGAGGTTGATGTTTTCCCTCTACCCCCCTGGTCGTTGGGGCATGATGATATTCATATCGGGGTGAAATCAGGCGAACCCCCTCCTCACGCCCTCTTCTCATACTCCACGCCTCAGCGAGTCACAGTCTGTTTGTGTGTTTTCTACATTAAGTGTTTCTGTCAAGCCGCATCAGTTAATGACATCCGCTATTTCCTTCTGTGCACAATGTCAAATGTATAGTTACATGCAGCTTTTACCCAGGATCCTTCTCATCATTGTCATTTTAGTCATCGTCATGGCGATTCCTAAATCGAAAGAAGAGTCTGATTCCACGTCCAGTGCAAAGCGCCCATTGACCTCAAGTGCTTCAAGCATCTATCCATCTAAGGCTCTAATCCATCTCTAATTTTTCCAGAGTGATTTATGATGTATGAAAGTATAGTGAATTAAGAGCGACGTGGAAACCTCAGAATCCTAAGACTTTCTCCCTCTTCTCATTTTTCCCTACCCGTAATTCGATAATAAACGAAGCTTGACTACCCATCATGCCTCATTCAAAATTCATCAGATGTTGGAGGTACTTGTGCATAAGTACGCCACTCGCTCTCACCGCGGCCTCCAGTTTGCTCCCCTTTTTTCTATTCATTGTCTATCTCTCTTCTTTTTTTATCTCCGGCAATTTCCATAAATCTAACACCTTACACCGCTGCCAGGAAGCAAATAATGGACAAAAATTGTCCGTCCTGTTTCGCTTATGACATGCTCGATGTAGCCTGCTCTGGAAAAGCCGGGGCTGGCATGCTGCATCCACGAGCAACCCATCCTTACCTGATAACATTTCAGCAAGGCCCTGGTTAAAAAGCCAACCACTTTTGACAAGTTCGTATACAAAATGGGTAGGCATCGCCTGGTTTATGATGATAGCCCCGGCCTGGAAGTGGTCGCCACCTAACGGGCTCTATGAAGACAGATGGATATAAAATCTGGATTGTAATGGGCGCTACATTAACCATTAAAGTATCAAGTTTAATGCCGGCTGAAGTTGGGGATGGGATAGCTTGTTTATAAAGGGGGAGGTGGAGTATCCTCCAGTTAAATGCACATGGTATATGATGATGATGATGATGATTCCAGTAGAGATGAGTGTATCCAGTTAACACCATTATACTTTAGCAGGTTGAATTATCTTAGCAAAATATAAATCAACTCTGACAGTTTGTCAAAAGCATTGTCAGAATCCCCTCTGCCTGTCTCCGAGCTTTAGAACTGTGTATACAGGAGAGGAGGAAGTCTTCAAAATGTTTATTGATTCCAGTGGTTGATCATTCTTTGTTATCATCAAGTTTTAATTTTTTCCTACCATACATTCAATCAAAGGTTCTCAGCAATGGAACACTTCAAATGATAAAATTGTCAATGTTATGTAGTTCTTTTTTCCCATTCCCCCCCCCCCAGAATTGGAGCACTATATATGACACCCAATATTAAATCTTCAGTTGAGAGCCAAAAGAACATTAACTCATTTCATTTAACTCTGATCTAACACCCATTGGAAGGATTGGTTCTCAGCAGACAAATTTAGTTTTGGGATCCAATATTATACTTTTCTCTTTGATGACAGATTTCCATATTACATTTCCATATTTATTTATACTTGTATGAATACTTTCCCTAAAACAGATTTGTTAGCAATTTGCATTCCAAGTGGAGCACTGATCTTGGAGATAGGGCTAAATTTATTCAAACTAGGAAGCATAATTCGGTCACATCGACTAGTCTAGGCAGCAGATACTTAGATAAGGTGGCTGATTGCACTAAAGCGTACATCTTCTTTTCAAGTTACAAGGCTTGAAGCAGTATAGGAGCTCATTATATTCACATCGGCACAGAATCATGGAGTATCTTAAATAATGGAATTCTACTGGTGTGAAAATCCTTCCAAAATCCATCGCTTCTATGGGAAACTCATTTGCAAGCCTTATTGCAGTGTGTATTTAGAAGGGATGCCTCTCTCTTCCTCTCTATTAGTGGTCCCACATATCAGATTTCATGTATTGCTTGAAGCCCTTTACCTAAAATATTCATGCCCCCGGCTCTGCTACTTGTGTGTGCTAAGTCCGGATTTTGAGCAAGGCAGATGGATGGAAATGAAGTCAAATTATAACAATATCTTTTGTGTCATCTCATTTTTTCCTGCTTTGCGGGCATTTACTTCCATGTCATTATTACGAACGTTCGCTGGAAAGAGAGGCATAGTCTTACTGACATTTCTTCTTCTGTCGCAGGATTGAATAAAATGGTGGAAGAATTTCTCAGAAACTCTGCGCGAGCATGCATCCCCGCAAACCATTGAGATGCGTACAAATTCGGATCATTCTGGTGGAGGAAAACACTTGTGCCAATTTTTGTTCTCCCTCTCGTACTATTCTCTTCTTTTTTTCATAGAGGTAGAGATTTTCATTTGCCATGAAATTTAGATGAGATTTTGATCTGACTGGGCCCCTGATCTAACAAGAGAGATATCAGAGAACAGAGGAGAAAATCTCATTAATTTTCAGTAATGGCGGCGAAAACAGATACAATGCATATCAGTGCAGGCCCGAGGCTAATGCAGAGAAGTATAGAGAGAATATAATAGAGGTGGATGGGAGCGAATGGAGGTGGAGGTGTCGTCATCAAGTAAGCAGGAGAGGTAGAAGAAATAAAAAGATATGGACGGTATGAATGAATGAGAACGGAAATGGAGGAAGAGATTTGGAGATGGAGTTGAAGAAAGGTAGAGAAAGGGATGAGAAAAAGAACAACTGATTTATTGATGAATAAGAAAAACAAGGTCGCCTTTTGTACGAAAGGTATCTCCTTACATTGGCAAGGTCAAAACTTGAAACCTAGAACTTGGAGCAAGGCTTGAAGAGTATGACTAGAATATTATAGTGGAATATAAATCAAAGAATGGAAGAGAACATATAAATAACAGAGAACCTGGCACAATCTACGAAATATGGAAAAGCAGTATAATACAATTAGGAAACAAATCAGTGTGAAAATGCAGTTACCCAAAATTAAGTAGAGGAAGAGAGTGTTAAACAAAAATCATTTGAAAAATAATTTAATTTTTATTCCTACTGTATAACAAATATAGTCCAATACATATTGTCTTGAAAAATGCTAGCATTATGCATGCACCCTTCCAGCTAAGATTAAAAATTGTTTCATTTAATCTTCCAGATATGAAAAGATGAAAAGACCCCCCCCCCCCCTCCCCATTGGAATAAAGCCCCTTCTCAACATCTTATCCTCTCCACAGATAATGAAGATGTTTTATCCCTAAATGACCCCACCCCCTCCCAGCCAAGCTTTACCCTTCCCCCGCTCAACTGTCACCCCCGTGTTCATAAATTGTCAGTAGAGGAATGGAAATGTTCTCTTTCACCCTACCCCTCCCTCCCTCCCCCTTCCCCCGGCCCAACTGTCACCACCGTGTGCGTACAATGTCAATAGGGGCTCATCGGGGAGATAAAGATAATTTCCCACTTTCGCACGCTTGGAAAACTTAGGGCGGCGGGGGAATAGGGGCAGGAATAACGCCACAAAATAGGTTACCTTTCAGCACTTCTTCCATAGGAAAAAAAAACAAGATCAAGATAGATATTGTCTCTTACTAAGCTGTCTTCAAATTGTGCCTCGATCATGTTCTCAATTTTTGTGTTTCATGCTGACTCCTGATTATGATAATGTAATGAGAATTTGAAGAAGTGTGTGGGTGATGTGGGTGTTTTTTTTTAACCTGACCAGTCTACATATATCTATCTCCTTTTGGACACATAGTTTGCTTCAGTGTCATCTTATTAGGAGAAAGTGTTATCTTGTAATGACTTTAATTCCTCATTCATTCAATTACAGTATGGTAGATTTATCTGATTTTTATTATAGAACCATAATGTATGATGAGAGTCATAAATGTAGAGTTACATACTTCTGACTCTCAGCAGACATTGTGCCATATTGAATGTTTTTTGCCGCAGATAAAAGCTGTCAATTTTCAATATTGGAGGAATGACCAGTGTGAACTAAAGTGTAGTGTAAACTTATGTTCTCTTTATCATACTACATAATTCTTCACTTATTCCCAGAATCCAAGAACATTCTGATTCCTGTTCCTAATCAACACACCATCTTGGGTTCTCCCCCAATCCCAACCAATATTTCACAAGTCATTATCATCATATCGTCGTGCCTCCTCCTCCTCCCCGCTTTAACTTTCTTTCTCCCTCCCTCTCCTAGAGGTGCAGGAGTGTCAGAGTTTTAATAATAGATCCCATTGGATAGATAATTGAATCCAAGCAAAGATGATTCAGTTGTTTGAGCTAACTTTCTCCTGGGAGCTGCATCATCCAAAGGTCATATCCATCATCATACCTCTCACGGCAAGAAAGAATGAAACAAGAAAAAGATGATGAGCAAGGGGGAGGAGGGAGATATATCCAGAACGTCCATGAAGTTTTTTCGGGGGATGACTTGCCATTTTCATGTGTGTGGAAACAATGCAAGATCATCCCCCCTGTTCTTCGGTGCCAAGAGAGGGATTTGTTGAATAGACATAGAGAATCCTCTTTTGGTTAGGTCCCAGTGCAGAAAGGAAGACATCCTGTCAATGTATCGCGTTCAGCCAATGTCATGAACATGATAATCATGTTAGAAAGATATCCCTAAATCTGTATATTACCTAGTGGATCTCCTCAGAGTTGTTTTTATTTAGATGATGACAATTTAATTGTTTCTTTCTGTTTTTGTCATTTATGCAGATTTTTCCTCAAGTTCTTCCTCAAGTGCAACCAGAACTGCTTGAAAAATGCAGGGAATCCAAGAGATATGCGTCGATTTCAGGTAAGTTTGAGATCTTATGATATTATAGACTATATAAATCTTGTCCACAATAAAGATGTAATTCGTCAGGATAAATCTGAAATTTAAAAAAAAATCATGATACTTCACAGGATTTTCCTTTAAAGATAATTAAGTTTGATAGAAAATTCTTTTAACGAAAAAATCTAAAATCAAATATAATAATAGAGGGTCATGGATGTCAAAAAGTAAATTTTTACATCTTGAAGTCATATAAGCAATGAAAAATTGATACCTTATCTTATATTTTTATATCTATGATCACTTCATTTTCTCCTTCTTCCTCCTTCTTACTGTCTCTCTACCTTTCTTTCCCTCCGTCCCCCTTTCTACCCCCTCCTTCCACACCCCTCCCCCTTCCCCTCACCCTTCCCCTCACCCTTCCCCTTGCTCTCTCTTACTCAAATAATATCTTACAGGTGGTTATATCTACAACTCCAAATGTTGATGGTCATGTGCTGGCCATGTCCGATAACATGTTTGTACACAACAACTCCAAACACGGCCGGAGAGCGAGAAGACTTGACCCGTCTGAAGGAGGTATGTAGTCTGACCATTGCTGGACATAGAAAGCGCCATCTACTATAAAACCAGAAACCCTCATGGCATGAAACTTTCACCAATTTCAACAACAACCATTTTCTCTGCAGGAAGCTACACAAATTGCAAATTGAGTGTGGTGTCAGTCATGATTCAATAGTTTTATGGCATGAATCTTAGGTGAATCAGATCCACTTCCAAAATTTGGTGAAATTTCTATGCATGCAAATGTTTCTGGTTTTATGGTATCTTGTTTGCTTAGATACATATATGCATATTATTATAAATAAGAAAGTTAAGAACTAGAAGAAATAAACAAAGAACATAGGAAATAAAACAAAATTATGAACGTAATACTTTTATTTGATCAGGAAAAGATAAATAAGGTAACAAAAAAGCCCCCCAAAATCATGGTTTATGGAGAGGATAAAGAGAATTATAAAAAGAGAAAGGACAAAAAGAAGATGATTTTTCTTACCATTTCATTTTTTCAAAGAACTCAGAATACATTATTCAATATAAGAACCAACGTTACATTACCTTTTAAGCATTTCTTAATCGTATTAGAACACTTAAATTCCTTTGATGATTGATGAAATCTATGATACTGTAATATATCGTTACTTTCTTTTTAAAAGCAACATTCATATTTTTTCTAACATAGGTGGTAGATTGCTCTCTTTTGTAACTTTTTCAAGCTGAAGATTTATCCAAAGATCTATTTACTGTCTTCTCTTTTCCACTACCATAAAAACTATTCCTGTAGGCTTCAGATCTTTCTTTAAGCCAAGTATGAAAAGTGAATGTGTGATCGCTATTAAAAAGCTAAAGATTACTGGACAAATTTTATTAACTTAATTTGAATTTTCACAAAAATTGATATGAAAATCATTCGGCATTCTGATCAAGTTTGAAGTTTATTGTGTCAAAATGAATTTATCTGATGATTTCAAAATTGATAATCTATAAATAGTTGTTATACATGCCAAGATAGTTGTACTTACAATTCTTATATGCTAGAGAACTTATATACGGGTATGCCAGAGAACATTATGTTTTATGAACTAAATAGAAATAATAAGAATAATTGTTCATGACATAAAAATGTGTGCTTTTAGGTGAAAAAAATATGTTTCAGTGGTGTGTTAAAAGCATGTAATGAAGTTGCTTGTGTCCCTATCAATTCTTGCATGCTTAATAGTTTCCCTTTTAATATCATTAATCCTTTACCACTTCAACAAAAAACGTCCTCTAAACAAAATAATTTGTCCAAATAATATCATCCTGGAATAGAATATTTTTCACCAGCTAATCATATAAAAACACTAATGGAAGCATAAATATATATCAAATTTCTTACATCTTTAATATCTATATAACAAATCATTTTCCACAACTATTATTCACCTTCAAATCATATTCTATTATATACATATTTTTCTAATTCACCCATTACATTGTTTGCACAATTACCAACCGGGAGACGACTTGTATCATTTTATCACAGAAATAAATCCTTTCTGGCTCTCCCCAGGTGATGTGCAATGGTGATCTTTGTTTAAATTAACCCCTACACTGCTAACAAGTACTTTCCACTGAACCAGCTTCCAAACTAAACCGAATGGCACACCATAAACATAAACCAAAAACATTGTTATGATTTCTGCATGAAAAGACTTTTTAGAGCATGGCGTACGTTGTGTAAATATAAACAGGTACCTCCCATTACCCTCTCTGGAACTGTGCGTACCCCACAGCTACGCCGTGCATCAAGGCAATCAGCCCTAGCGAAGGATGGACAACAGGGGGCGCCACTGTCATCATCGTCGGCGACAACTTCTTCGACGGACTCCAGGTCGTCTTTGGCAGCATGATCGTCTGGAGTGAGGTAAGGATGCTGAGAGGATGATGAGGGATTATAAACTTGATTCAAGTGGTTGGGTAAAATACATTTTCTATGTAATTCCAGTTAAAACATGACCAAAAAACAAACAAAAAACGCACACTCAATAAAAATGAAGACATCGGATGTAGCCTGAATATATCTTTTTTTGCCCACAAATTTAGTGATATGATTAATGAAGGTGTTAGGTATAATCCCTCTTAATGAAAATTTATAAGATGTCAAATGATTAAAAATAAATTTAAAGAATAGATAAGAATTAAGCGCATGTTTTGTGTGTGCGTGAACATACTTTGAATGATCAATCAATGACTTCAAAGTGTGCATAGTGATCTGAGAAATGAAGACTGTGCCATTGGACCAGAGCATTGCCCCCAGTGACTCGGCTCTTTAATACAATCATAGCCGTTCACATTGCAGTAATTGTTCCTGACAGTTAGTATGTCTGGCAAGGTCAGAAATGCCACTCATAAAAGAAGAAATTAAATGAAGAAAATGGGGAGAGGGAGAGAGAGAGAGGGAGGGGGTGAATGAAGACCAGAAGACATGCAAGAGGAGCGAGATAAGTGATTAACGAGATCAAGACCAAGTCTGAGGATGACAGGGAGACAGAGACAGAGAGAGAGAGAGAGAGAGAGAGAGAGAGAGAGAGAGAGAGGGAGAGAGATGTAGACAGAGAGAGAGAAAGAAGGGCAAGGGCTAGTGGGCGGAGGTTTGTCTCTGGGTGTCTGATAGCGAGGAAATGGAGAGTTTATTAGTCAGAAGGGAGAGTGTAAACTTGTAAAAGGAACTAGAAGAAACGTTTTGTTACAGAAGAATCTTTGTGGGGAAGGACAGATTTTAAAGACACTTTAAATGTAATATATCTCTCCGGTCTGTTAGTTTTATCTTTACCTATGTAAATGTTTGTCTGTATGTCTATTTATATCTAGTTGCCTGCAAATCTTTAAATCTGTAGGTTGATAGATATGGCATTTATATCTTCTTCTCTAGGTCTTTTTCTCTGATGTCTATCTTCCCATATCTATCGACCTGTATCTATCAGTATCTATCTACCTGTCTTATCTATTATCATTTATCTACCTTAACTTTATACAATCATCCAAAAAATGAGATAAATATTTGAAAAAATTCATGGGCAATTGACACAACTTTGTCTTCAAACTATAATTTATGACCTGGAATTGATTTCTTTTTAATCTGAGGTCAGTGTATATATAAATGTCACATTGTCTTGCCTTGGACTTTCTAATAATATATATCTGTGTATATCAATTTTATTAATAAATTTAGAAATATTTTAAAGTTTCATAAGTATTTGGAGGCGGGGGATGGAAAGTTTAAGGACATTCCCAAGTGGGGTGTCTCTGAAGGGCTAAGGGAGTTCCATTAAGGAGGGGATGACTCCCCCTCCCCCTCCCCCATCAAGTTCTCAGGACAAGAGTAAGGATGAATCAAGGATACAAAAGAAGGCTGGCAATCAAACAAATAAAAAATGCCCCAATTTTGTCTCATTAAGAGCTAGTTTCACTTACTCATAACGTTCCTCACGTTGAGCTCTGTCATTGCTTGCCTAGCTGTGACGGTGGTGTTGTGGTTTTGTAGAAGGGAAGGTGACCTCGTTGAGTAGTGCATCTTGTTCCTCCCTCGTTAATGACCTGCACCACCCAGAGGATACGGGCAGGCAGGCAACCCAAAGCCACACACAGGGCTTGCTTGTAAAGGATAGGTGACATGTCATTTATCCTGTTAAAACGTCTTGTTTAGGAGATCACAGTTCCCACTCATAATCATCTAGCTAATTTATGAAATTTCCTCCACCCTTGTAGATAACACCCAGAAGAACAGAGAGGAATGAATGACCTCCTTGTGTGGGATAGGGACTTTTTTTAGTACCAGTATGAGCTCAATATTTCTCTTACAAAAGCAGATTATACATATATACTAAATAAATGCCTTAGATTAGGTGATGTTATTTCCATCCAAGGCTTTTTTGATGTTTTAATATTTTAATTATCCTCCCATTTTGATTTACATTAATCTTAATTCAAACTTTATTTGAATGTCGGAATGAATATGATATTTTTTGTGTTTTGGTTTTTGGAAGAGACAGGTTGTATCCTATACCTCTTATGCAGCAGTAATACTGTATGTCATCTTAATATTTGATAAAGTTATTGATTCAAAATGCAATCAAACTCAATAAAAAACTCAATCTCTATGTCTCTTTCCATTTCTCTCTCAGCTCATCACCCCCCACGCCATCAGAGTACAAACCCCACCCCGACACATCCCCGGGGTGGTGGAGGTCACATTGTCGTACAAGTCCAAGCAGTTCTGCAAGGGGGCGCCAGGCAGGTTCGTCTACGTCTCACTGACAGAGCCGACAATAGATTACGGGTTCCAAAGACTGAGCAAGCTTGTCCCGCGGCATCCTGGCGATCCAGATAGACTGCCAAAGGTAGGAGGGGAAGGAAGTTTATAACAAGTATAATAATCAGAACAAGTTTTTGAAAACTTGTCCCAAGGTTCATGTAGGAAAGATGGAAGTTTCTTCCAAGTCGAACAATAAAAAAAAGTTTTGAAAACTTGTCCAAAGGTAGCAAAAAAGAAGGTTTTGACAAGTAGAAGTATCAGAATTGTTTCAGACACTTTTGCGAAGGTAGGAAAAATGAAGTTTCTACTAGATGAAAGAATAAGAAAAGTATCAGACACTTTTGTCTTGTCCTCACACACCAAACGACCATTGAAACTTTCCATCCTTAAGCTAACTTGGGACTATACAATTCCATTATTCTGGAGTAAGGTTTGTTGCAATGATGGCATGATAAAACATGTATGTTCATGACCGTTAACCAGGAAAATGTTTTTCAGATTTGTATATTTATTTGATTATCCAGACGATTGAGACTTAAAATAAGTTTTGTAAGTAGGAAAAACTACACTTGAGAAGAGAGTGATTTAGTTCTGGAAAACTATGGTAGTGACTTTTGATTATTAAGTGAAAAGTGTTTGAACTTTTGGAGGAAAAAAAAAACGGATTTCCAGTTCAACCGGATATTATTGTTGAATGCCAGATTCGAAATCTGTGGATTACATCTACCACTGATTAGAATCACATTTGACTCGAATAGGCCTCTACGATTTATGCAAAGTGACTACCAAATTAGTGTTTGCGATTCTCTGAATCAGTACCAGATAGTGGATTGTTTCTCCTTTTCCTCCCGAATGCAGGAAATCATTCTGAAGCGAGCAGCGGATCTGGCAGAGGCCTTGTATAGTATGCCAAGGAATCAACTCCCCATTGGGCCGCCCCGATCACCCGCCCTCAACAACAGCTCCGGTAGTCTAGTACCCATGAACTCTTTCGGTAGCCAGCTAGAACACGAAAGTGACCAACATTCAGGTGAGAAATAAGGGAATCATACAGAGATTAAGAAGGTGTTATGTCAGCAAACCTAAGTAGAATGATTACAAAGGCAATGGACGAACTCAAATTCTGTGGTTTGTAAAATCTTTCAAAAGTAAAACAGTCGCTGCTTTCAGAGATTAAAGAATTAGCCTATACTCGTACTTTTAGATAGAACTTTGTATAAGAAGCTAAGTATCATGATTGCCAATTTTATCAGTTTTGTAAATCTTACTAGGACTTTAAAACGTCAAACTGTCTCATCACCTGTCTGTACAGGTGTGCTCCAATTTCTAGGTCATATCGTGGCCTTTTCTCATTACATGACAAAGCTTGGAGATGGCAACAAGTAGTCATTGTTGACAAATTAATTGTCGCAAGGGAGTGAGAGAGAGAGAGAGAGAGATGACAATCTGGACATGTTTGATCCATTTTGCTTTCCTTGGAGTACAGCTGGTACACAATTAAATGATCAAACTTAATTTATGGCCCTTGTCGAAGAACGGGGGCTCTCATAGTCACATCGGAGCTGTCGGGAGACAAAACGATAATTGATAATCCACCATACGCCCGATGACCTCATGTTGATATGATTGAGACGTAGCATGTTATATGAAACACATTGGCATGGTCCTAAGATGGTTACAGGAATCAATTAAAAGACAGGAACTGATATCACTAAAGAGGAGAGTGATGGGTTTCATATCTTAGGTCCGGCCTTTGCCTACGCGACTCATGCAGTTTGTTACTTTGGAAAGAATAACCGATGAAAGGTCTTTTACCCCGTACTAAGGGCTTGGAGCTGTTAGATTTCCTTGTGGCTCGAGTAATCTTAAATCCCCCCTCTCCTTTCCTAGAGACTCCTCTCAGTCAAGGATTCCCCCTTTTTTCTCTCACTTTACGCATCGGTGGCAGAAAAACGTGTTTGTAATTTTCGGCGCGTTCTTGTCGCAGCCTCCATCTGGCCAGCCTTGCCAAGTTCCATTACCAGAACTCATGTTTGAACAAATTTGTCATCGCTTTGGCCCGCAAGATGCGAAACCAGTGTTGCTAGGAACATAATAGCCCCAGATTTAATTTGAGGGGGAAGTGAGTCAAGATACCTGTATAAAAACCCAAACTCTGGCGCTTGTCACACCGTTCCACTGGGAATCGCCATTGTATTATTCCAGCCATTTTGTTGGGGGCCTCCCGTTCCCTTCCTCTCCCCTACCGTTCAACTTGATTGCCGTCTCTTACCCCCCCCTCTCCCCCCCCCCCCCCCCACATCCATAGTTTTCTTTTGTGCTTTCAGCATTGGTCACACTTTCAGAACTGTATTGTCATGACTTGTTGATGTCAAGCTTAATGTGAATAATCATTTTTTCTTGGAATCAAGCTTGATTTAGTTTGAGCTCATTCGCCCTTTGACAAGTAGATACATCTATGCCACGTTGTTTTACCAATCGTGTTTATCATTCTTTTATATCAATGAGATACTTTACCCCTTTCCTGATATCTCTTCTGTCATATTCTTTGATACATTTTATCTGAAAGATACTATTAACTTCTCTAGTTGTCTTTCCCTATATTTCTATTGTTGTTGAAATTTAAATAAAGATTCAAAACTTTGTGCCAATCAGAATCCATAAAATGTACAATGTTGATAGATATCAGTTCAGATAAATAATGACTGTAAGATATATAAAAGCAAATCAAACCAAATTATAGGCATATGAGTTCAGCGGGGGCTATTGCAGAATATGATCATTAAACAGATGTTTAAAATAATTGGCACTTTAAATTCTTTCCAAAGCCCGAAATAATTACATTTCTATCTTTTCTCTCCTTTGCACGTCATCCTCTGCTAGGTTTCTCACGAGTGCAGCCAAGCAGTACGCTATCACCCAGGGGTTACTCCTCGGGTTTGTCCACGCCCCACAGTAGCGGGGGAAGCCCCAGTTCCTACTCCGGGTCATCGGCACTCAACGGGTACCCTAGCGCCAACATGGGCGTCCCGTCCTCCTCAAGTATCTTCAACGGTGCTGCAAGTAAGTCACAACCACTTCTCTCAACTTCTCTCACTCACAAGTGATTACCATTGCTAGATGTCATCAGTAAAAATGAAATTGCACAAGTCACACGCAAACAGACAAACTTGCTAAAGGAACAACTGGTGAATCTTCTGTTTGGAGCCAGAAAAGCGTTCATTCTTTGTAGAATGATACGAGTTAACAACCTTCTGGCTCTAAACAGATGAAATGTACCTTTCCTAAAAGCTTGTAAGGAATTGACACCGGGATGAAGTCTTTGACTTCTCTTTCCTCAGCTACTACCTGCAAGACATCACAAATCACATACCGCTTTGCACACTATTTTTTAAACCCTTTTGTGTGAATTCAGGTGAACTAAATGAGACTTTAATTGCACTCCCATCACATCTTTAAAAGGTGGCAGCAATTAGTTATCTCCTCAAAACTTTTACAATGCTCTTTGAAAATTTGTTTAGAGTTGTTAGGCTCGGGGTAAGGTTTGTTGGATGGCATCTTTCTTTATAAATGGGCTTGTTTGTTCGCTCTACAAGAAATAGTCACAATAAGAACATAGTGCAGGTAGGTGAAGCAATGAGTCCCAATCTCGCACTCGCAGACAAACTATAGTAAAGCTCAGTCTTGGACATCAATCCTTACGTGAGTTTGGATGGGATGACGATTCCTAGCTACTCGGTCGGTCGGTGTGTGACACACCATTACCAAGCAGGATGCGTAGCTAGATTTGTTTAAATAGTTGCGCCATGTCTCCTGGGATGCAGGGAGGAGATGGGTCACAGAATGACAGAGAAATCAACAAAAGGGAAGGGTGAAAAGTGTTGCATAAATAGTGCTGGGGAGGGGTGCGAGGGATAAGAGAAGAGGGGGGAAGGGGGAGAAGATTGCGCAACGTTTCGCGCCGGTCTGGCAGGAAGGTGCCAATTGCGGTGAGGGATTTTCATGGACCAGTGGATCTGAGATTATATTATCAAAAAACTATGATTTTAAAGAGTACAAATTTACAAATAGATTTTTTTTTTTAAGTCAAAGGCGTAAATATTCTAAAAAAGAATGAAACGCTGATAATACCAAACAACAACAGCACAACGGCAACAAGAAAGTTTTAGAACATGTTTCTTTATTCTTCTAGTAGGTTGGCTAAAATATAAATGTTGTTTTCTTATTCTTAGTGAAGGGGTTGGGGGTGGGGGGTCATACTTAGAAAAAAGGTAGATAGATACTTTCGGTTGGTGGGCAGGAATGAAAACATTTTGAAGTCAGGCATATATAGCAAAGAAGCATTAGAACAAGAAAATGTAGATTATATACCTTTTTGCTTCCTGTAGAAGTGGCCTTAAAATATAAAATTGTGTAGTCAAGGCGTAGCCTGGTGGGAGGGGGGGGGGGTGAGGGGCAAAGGGGTCTTGGCACCCTCTGTGATCTGAAATAGTTGGTTACTTGTCGGTTTAACAATAAATACGACCTTTTCATACCTCATTGTTTCAATACAATGGAATCCTACGATTTACCAGCCATGCCCTCGTAAAAAAAAAACCCTGGCCATGCTACTGGCTTTAGGTCTCAAAAAAAAATTATTTGGACTGATTGAACTTCTGTATGGGTCAGGGAAGGGGTAGATCTGATCAGAGAGCACCCGTGTTTCCCCCACAAACTTGTCGTACATCCTTGTGGCCATGTTTCCCCATCAACCCTACTTCCTGTTTCTCTCCTTTTGTGTCAAAGGTGAATTTATCTTTCCAATCAATCTAAGATTTTCACAGTTCCATATGTACCCCTTAATCTATGATTTTATTCATCCACATACACGCTTGTCCTATCTCTTATAATTTGGTGTCAATGATTTCTTTTCTATTTCATTTTTAAAACCTCGAATCAAGTTCATTCACAGAGAGCCGAAGGCAATCTTATTTCCACTTTTCCTCGCATTTGCTTTGCATCTGAAGTGATCTTAGACTTGTTAATTCAAACTTCTTATTCTGTTTGCCCTTTTGCGAACGTGATAGAAATCTTTTGAATTCCCCTGGCTAGCTATAATATGAGCTGATTCACATCCCCCGTGTGTCAATGCCAATCGTGGGAACAGCTCCCACAAATTAAGAGTCCGTCTCTTTAAACCCATTGAATTAGTGCCAGCTGCAGATGAGAATCAAAAGTTCACACTTCTAATCAGTCCCCGGAAACTGATTATCTAGATCTTTTCCTCTTGATAAGATATTAAGACATAGAAACACAATTTTTCCTTCGGTCATATGTTTATGATATATTTAAGAAGTGATGTTGTACAAAAATGTGTCCTCCTTTCTTTTCTCTTCAGAATTGAACTTACATACAACCCCTTTATTGCCAATGGTGTATTGAGTGTTATAATTTAATAATATTCTCAATCTCGCACCTGGAATTCCATCAAAATAATCTATCACATTCTATACTTGTATCTATATGGTGGAAAGGTCTAATTCTCCTCATAATTCTAATCATTCTTATACTTCTTAAAGAAAGAATTTATGCAGTAATTTCCATCTTTTCACCATCTTTGATTGATGTTGGGTCTTTCTAAGGCTTCATTATTTTTTTTCTCACCAAAAGCTTAATGCTCTTTTCTGTTTGTTTTTCTTTGCTTCCCTTTGATAATCTTATCCTTTTCCCTATCATTTGCAAATGAATTTTCAACTAACTGTTAACTCATACTTCCCTTTTTCCTATGATTTAATCTATTAATATCACTCATTCATTATTCTTATCATTTTTTAAATACTTCCCCTTCATTCTCATTAAATTTTACTCTTCTCGTCTGATGTTGACATCTATTCTGTTTCATGATTTGCTGCAATCTTCAATTATGGCTTTCATCAATTCACTCTTGATGTTCTTTTCTTTGGTCTCAATAATACTTTTCTTATCTGTACCATTGCTTTCATTAAAACTCCTTAACATTCATGGTGACGTCACACCTTTTGGCACTTCACTAATCATCACTAAAAAAAATCACAATCATTACTGAACTATGGTTCTCTCACCAACATTTCTTTTCTCAAACAACACTATATTCACACCCCTTTGCTGTCCCATCATCCCCCCCCCATGTGCTGCATTATCACCACACCCCTTTGCTTGTTCATGTATGTTCCACACCCCTTAGCTCCGGTATCCATCATCCCCGCTTCCCCGCCCCTCCCGACCCCCCACCACCCCACCAGTACCGCGGCAGGGGGCAACCAGGGCTCTGCCTCTGGCCCCCTCTCCTTCTCTCCCGCCAACATGATCACTGCCGTTAAGCAGAGGAGTGCCTTTGCCCCCGTAGTTCGTTCCCCTTCAAGCCCCTCCACCAATGGTGTGATTGGGGTTGGGGGCGGTGGAGGAGGGGCAGGGCCTGCTATCAACCAAGGTATGTGTATTGCTGATGTAGCTATGAGCTCACATGCCTAAATCACCTATTCTTAACCATTATTTGTTACCCATTTCTCACGTAAAAATTTAGAGTTCAAATACTCTTTTTATACAGTCAAACCTGTCTATAGCGACCGTCCAAGGGAAACACAAAAAGTGGCCTTTGTAGACAGGTTCATTTAGTACATGATTCAATAAGAATTCATTTTCAAGGGATAACAATAAATGTGGCCTTTGTAGACAGGTGGTCTTTGTAGGCAGGTGGTCACTAAAGCAGGTTTGACTGTACATACCTTAGGATGGCTCAAGTAGAGATTTGTCATTAGGCTATGCTGTTTTCTTCATAAATCTCAAACTTACATTTAAATTAGATTAAAAGAAAAGAACACTGCAAACTTCCGTCAAAAGGCATCCATTTCTCAAGTGGAATGCTCTCTCTCATTGTGTATACATGTAGCCCAACTATTCTTTGCATGCCAGCTTTTAACCTCACCATAGCACCATCAAATGAAGTTATGCAAGAGGGATACGATACTCACATAAACCTTGGATAAATATTATTTCTTTAAAACATAAAAATTGCAATTAAGTCCCAATTCCATTGTTGTTATTCTCTCTTCTTTTTCTCAGAACACTACTGTGCGTGGTTTTACCATGATGAAGAAGTCAAAGAGAAAAGTAATTTATTTCCTATCCTCTCAGCCAATCGAATTCAAACTTGATTGTTCTCTATATTGGTATTTTCATACTCTTTACTTACCCAGTTTGCCCAGATTTGGTCATTTTTGGTGAAACATGGTAGTTTTCTATATCCTGTAGATCATGAGGGGCACAGTTGATGTGGTATACATATAGCAGCAGTAACATAGAGCATTACTAACATTATCATGCACTTAGATATTAAGAATACAAAAAAGGAATATCTTATTTAGTTCATGTAGTACCGGTACACATGCAATAGATATATAAACTTTCTCTCTATCTCTCTCCTCAACCTCAGTCTGAAAATACATCCTTTGGTTTTAACCTCAACTTCAAGACTGCCTTTCTCTATCTCTATGTATATTTATGTGTTTGTTGCTTTGTATCTTTCTCTCTCCCTGCCAAAAACACTTTATTTCGAGCTATGGTCAATTCAGTGCTCAATTCTCCCCTTTTCTCCAAATCACTTTGCTTTGATAAAGTCCATATATTATATTTCATCCATTATGTTTCCATTTCATAGACTTCTGTAATCCTAGTCCAATAGTTATCGGGCAGCTAGTAGTTGGAAGCTTTTCATCATTGTTCCAGCCACCCTTCTCTCTGTCTTGTTCCTGTTTCTTTCATCATATAATACATTAGTTTCCACAGCAAGGAACTCCTAACATCATTCATATACTTTAAAGGGCAATCCAACCCTTGTAATAAGTTCATTTGTATGAGAGCTGAAAATATGATACATATGGCAAAAGTTTGAAATAAATCAGACCAATAATAAGAAAGTTATGAATATTCTAAATATGAAATCACTAAATCTCTGCAAATCTTAAATTGGCAGTTCGGTCAGTGGATTGTGATGTAGTCATGGATAACTGTACCATTTGTCGTGTACAAAAATATAAATTTCTGTTTTTCTCTTAAATGCCTTCTTCCTTGTGGCACTACTCAAAATCTATTATTTATAGCATATTATTATAGGTACTCTAAAGAGAATCGATTCTACAGAATTATTCATTTTTGAGAAATTGACATTTTAGTCATTTTGTGTGTTGGAACGAATGTGAAAGTTGTCCTCCACTATATCACAGAGACATTACTGATTCAGCCAACTTGGAGAGCCCATACCTATAGTGATTACAACTTTTAAAAACTCATAACTTTCACAATATTTGTCTGATTTCCCCTTAAATCTGAATCAAGATTTACTCTACATCTCATTTGCCATGGGATTCTCTCCCTCCATCATCGGTACATACTGGTATATTGTTCAATATGAAATACACATTATAGCTTCTGCGTATAAAACATCTATTATTTTATTTATTGAAATGTTTTTGAGCACAAATGCAAGTATTGACTTCATTTTCCTGCTCATTTGACAAATTACAGTTGGTAATTTATAGTTTAGGATGTTCCTTCTAGAAATGGAAATTTCATGTTGAACTTTAGATCAAATCAAACCCTGTTTCCAATATTCTACTCGTATCTGTGGAATGTTATTTGCTAAACCATTATTTTGTTCTGGTGGACAACAACCCACTTATCAACGTTCGCTTTCTTGTTTCTCTTGACTGTGCATTAGGAAACGCTGCAATGATGTCACCGCCATCTTTCTGCAGTGTAGGAGGCCCCTTCGCTCTGCCGACCTGTAGCGCATCGGCGTACAGCAGTCACATCGATAGTCCAGGCAAATGAGAACCGATAAAAACAGCAAGGCAGACTGAATGGAACAATCAAACTTATCAGGAGAAAAGAGAGGACTCAGTTAGTTGACATTTTTCTGCAGTGCGCGGACGACAAAGTTTGAACTGCAAAGAGACTGGTGGATAATCATGGAGATGATTTTAACAGCTCAGAATGAAGCGGAAAGCATTTTTTCCATACTTGAATGGAAACGAAATGGTATTCTCAACCATAAATACCTTATACCTCCAACTGATAACAATTTACAAAAGAAAGTAGCTTTAGGTTTTATAAGGCTATCGTCAATATTCCTCTGATGATAGTGCAACTGGAATCAACTCATTCCCAGCTTCTTGTTCATATCTTTATATCATGAATGTGCACTTAACTAAACTCACCAATACAAACAAGTAAACAAGTCTCTCAAAAAGACTCTGAGATACTTGCATGTGACCAACTAAAGTATGTTCTTTTGAGAAGCAAGATTGGCAGAGCAGAGCAGAGGCTTGTGTTGAGATCAGAGTTTTCTCATTTTACCGGTTGGTGATTTAGTAATGCGGGCAAGGCTGAACGAGCTTAACGAGAATGATGAGGGGTGATCCCAAGGGGTACAAGGGGGGTATGGCCACGCCCGAAACCCTCAAACCCTGCTGATTACCAGCTGGAAATGCTGGCTAGTTTGGGAGCCGGTTCCAAATTGAGGGGCATTTTCAGCAGCAATGGTAATCATGGCAGGTTTTTGTGGGGTCACTCTGTGGTCAAGAGTACATGTAAGTCATTCAGAAGGGGGTTAATCGAAGTTTCAACACAAAATTAGCACCCTTCTGGCTCCAAACAGACATATTATGGGGATTATGAACTTCTCATTTATTGAAACACAAGCATTATTCTGCTTATGATGATATTATAACAAAATAAACTTACGTAGGGAACGAAGATGGAGTGTCATAAAGCAAATGTTAAATTGATTGGAATCATCTTGGACTGAAAATGGAAATGTAGTTTGATATCTGATTCCTGTTGGAAGTGTCTCAATGATCTAATCTAAATGATTAGGTGTAATTTTTGTTTGATTATATTACCCTTGTGAACGGAATTAGATAGTCATGACCAAAATATTAAGGAGCAAAGTTGAAAGCAGCAAGATGAGAGAAGGCAATGAAAACGATATGACCAAAATAGTTGTAGTTTCAAATGTGCATCTGTATTATTTATTATGTTTGTTATTAATACTGCCTCCATTGCTTTTGCTTACAAGAGGGGAAATGTGGACAGAAAAAAAAATCATGAAAACTGGTGCTTGCCAAAATGTACAAAAATGGTATTTATACTGTAAGGTAATGTTTGTAAATAGGACATAAAGCATGATGAATAGAAACAAGTGTGAAAGAGAGAGCGAGAGAGGTGACGCAAGATTTTTAGCAAAATGCATTTGATAGATGATAATGAAATGAAAGACGATAGGCTGCATTTCTAGCTAGCCCAATGTTGTCCCGAATTGTACAAAGAAAAGTTTTATCTTGTAGTTATGACGGAAGAAAAATCAACCTGTGAAATGTAACGATTATATCTGTGTAGTAATATTGCCATGTAGATGGGTATAGGTGTTGTCCATGTACACAATCAGTCAATTTTTTTAGAAAGGATTTGTGTATTCATAGAACTCTGAAGGAGACAAGACACACCAAAATCATTGTATATATTTATATTTATATATATTCTATATATCGAGTTGGTTCAATCCTGTTATTTTGCTTTCGTAATCTGTGAAGATTTATAAATGTATACCTGTCCTTTGTAAACCTGTAATCTCTAAATCATGTGGTTCAATTTTTTTTTAATATGTCTCTTTTTAGCATCAGTTTTATTTGTGTTGAAGAGTTCAATATCTAAAGTCCATTCCGAGTTCGTACCAATATATATTTCAACCTCTTAAATCAAAGCAAAGTGCTGCATTTTATGTCTTTTCATTATTTTTGTCATTAGATATCTGCCAAAAGATGCTCAAAATCGATGAACTAGATGAGAAAAACGTACTTAGTGACAAAACTCCTTTTAACGTACAGTGGTATGACGTTCATCAACTCAGAGATTAAAAAAAAAAACACTTCTGTACGTTTCAATAACAACAGTATATTTCATGTCCACATTTGTCAAATTTTATTCCAAATTCATAGTTCTCTATTCCAACATTTTCATTCAAGTTACATCATCTATTTTTTCCCACTTATTTTAAACACTTATAAATAGATTCAGGATTATTAGATAAGTAAAAATAGGTGCATTATAATAAATCTTTTAACTCCTCTTTTGAATATCTTGCACACGATTTGAACAATCAGGGTGATAAAGCAGTAAAAATAACACAAGAAAGAAAGAATAATGCCATTGACAGTATTCATTGATAGATAGCCCAAATAAGCTGTATTCAATCTGTGGTATTCATGCTAACTATCCAATATTTGTTATTCTTTTGAATGAGGATAATTTGATGGTGAAATAAATGTAGTATTCATTATTTATTGACTTGCTCATTTCAATTTATGCAATACATTTATATTGCTATTATTACTATTTTTTCATATTGAAGTCTCAAGATTATATTCTCACTTTGTATTTAATAATCTTGTAAATCAATCCCTGACATATGCATACCTATTCTGATTTGCAATGTATGGTAAGTTTTCACAGGAAATTTAAAAAGGAATGTGATTTTTTGATAAACTTTTTTTTCCTTTCTATCACATGATAAAACCATTCCAACATGACAATTTCATTGTAGTGTCATTGATGTCAAACACAAGTAAAGTTTTCATCATCACTTTAAGAGCTCGCTATCATAAACAACATCCCAAATTAAACCTGTGAATCCCCATTGACCCCTTTGTCTCAATAGAAATATAGATATGGCATTTCTTAGAAAGTAAGGAAACCTCGTTAAATGCAAGGTTCTATTAAATTTTCTTACTAACCAAATCAAATTTTCTCACCCATTTCATGAGAACTCATTCATAAGGGATAGGAGTTTTCTATTTAAAGAGGGAAGGCAAAGCAGTAAATCTTTCATTAATTCCTTGATCACCACATTACAGGTTTAATTGTTATCCTAAATTTAGATACCGGTATGATGAACTTTGAACCTATGCTTTTTTATGTAATGTCACACACTTCATTGCCATTTTTGTTTAGTTTTGTGAATATATATCAAAAGTATAAAACTAAAATGCAGACAGAATTCAGTATTACTTAACGTCCATTCATTTGGAATGGACAATCGTGTTCTATGTTGTTATTTTTTGTTTAAAGAAGTGATTTAAACTGGTGTTTTCGCTCTAGTTTGAATCAAGATGATTGTGTCAATGAAATACAAAAAAACAAACTATTGAATTCCATGCTCAGGGCCAACGTTGTGTCACCATGGCAAAACTTGTACATTCTTAGAGTCGTTGTATAACAGTTCAAAAATTCAACATTAGGGCAGCAAGGGTTGTATGCTTATTTTCCTCTAAATTTTGTTTGTCTAAAATGTGATTTGTATCGAAAATTGCAATTGTTTTTAAAATTGTCAGAAATGTTGTGAAGCCCTTGTTGCCCTATAAGTGCATGTCAATGTACTTGATTAATTGTAGAAGATAGTAAGGAGTTGAGTGTGTTGTATTTCTTTATACTTCATAGACTCAAACATCATATTGTTATGCTTAATTAATGAGTAGATAGTCATATATATTGATGCAAATATGACAGATTTAACCCACCAAATGAACCTCGCCTATTATCTCGTTTATTAAAACACGAGAGAGACGAAGTGAAAGGAGAGAAAGTGAGAGTGAGTGAGATGTTTCATTTGTCTCAATATTTTCCATGTTTGATGTTTTAATATAAACACAGGGTACTTCGGTAGTGAAATTACATTGGTGGCAACTCCTGTGATTGCGTTCCCATATGGGACTTTTAATTGCACGGAACACCGACACCTTCATTGCAAATTTGTTTACACTTCGCTGGATGATGTAGAGCAGAGCTGCAGTAGGTGTCCGTGTTTGAAATATTAACCATATGTGAGCGCACCACCTGTAGACAGCTTGTAGTTTGTAGTGTACCATAATAGACCACGTCATGGAGAATGCCTTAACCCGTTCACATACAGGAGATGGGTTATGTGCGTTTGACGAGTAGTTACAGACTATGACAAGAAATGTTCAGTATTCCTTTTAGATTACTCTGTTTAACTGTAATGTACATAGTTTTTTATATAACACTTTCTCCTTGGTTTATCGATCTACTGGGCTGCCAAAGTGGAGAGTTTAGTCCTTTTCTTTTGCACCATTTTCCCAATTTTGATATGAGAAGTATTGTGAATTATGTTAAGAAAAAATATGATCATGCTTGTAAAAATGGCTGTCTTTAATAATTATGAGTTTTGAGAGAAGGGAAGGAAAGAAATGTAAAACTCGCTTCTCACTTTGCATACTTGTATGTGTCTTTATGTCTTGGTGTTTTAATGATGAATAAATTCAATGGTGAATACATATCAAGACAAAACTAGAAGTGTGTGGCTCATATGTTGAAGAATTCTTCATTTTAAATAAGTGTTACATTACAAAAAAAGATATCTAGGAATTGATGGTTGATATAAATGGTGAAGATGATGATGAATGATGGTGATGATTATGGGAACGACAATAACAATAAGGTTGATGATGAGGATTTTATATTCTGGTAATAATCTAAGGGTGATTACACAAGCTCTCTATCCCTCCTTTTCCCTTCATCTCTTTCTCTCTCTATCTTTCCATACTCCTATCCTAACATTTCTCTTTTTAAATTAAATAAATATAATTTCCCCACCCAACTTTAAACGTATTAAAAGTATTTTATGTCTGCAGTTTACATCTAAAAGGTAAGCATTCATAAATCAAACTAGTCACCAATCTCATTTTTCGGTTTTCAACTTGTTGCCACAATTTTAGCCAATGTAGCAAAATAAAATAAATCCAGATTAGTCAGGGTTATTCTTATATGGCATTACACACAATGTAGTAGCCACATTTATTTGATTAAATGCATTGGACACATACACAACCACACAACTGTACACACAGTCACTGCAATTCTTACACTTGGGTATTCTTATGTAAATAGTACAAAAACGAAATATAAAAGAAAAATTTGCACATTTTTGTTTTCTTCTTCTTAGAACAAGCAACAATGATTCTTTAAAGTTACATAAATTATTTTAATTACATGCATATTTACTTTTGTCTTCCCTCTCAAGTCAATAAACGCTTATACTGGGAACTCTCTTACTTCAATGACCAAAAAGACTATCCAGGGTGAGAAGCCGGATATATGGTAGATATCTCTGGACATATTCCTCTTTAAAAACGAGTTATCTCATCCATGAACAAACGGTGGGCCAGGAGCCAAAGGGATTCTCCATACAGAACATTTCCAGGTTTCACTCTTTAATCTTAAGCTGAATGTGGAAACATTTTATGAATTCAGAGAAGTTTTATTTCATACAATTTGAAATCAGGAAAGTCTGCATTTGAGACTATTTTTGTCTGGTCCATTCCGGCAAATGACCTTGAAAGAAGGTCACATTAAACTGGGTTTCTTTGAGAAGTCCCTCTTCTCCTGCCCGACTTAACACCTTCAAATAAATAAACAAAACACAGGACATAACTGTGAAGTCATTTTCTTATATGACATAACAAACAAAAGAACATAAATATTAGGGGAGAAAAGCTATGGTCATAAACCCAGACAGCATGACTGTGCAGACTTTTCCAAATTGATCATTATTCCTCCAGGTCTAATACTCCCTGTTAAAGGGTTCTAGGTCTTCACAAGCCCTGTGCGCCACTCCTAAATCAAATTCAGCCCTCTGTGCCAGCAAGGATCGTGTTCTTTCCCCCATCTCCTTGCAGCTGACTGCACAACCAACCTACAAGCCAGAGAGCTAGGGAGTGAGGCAGGCTGGTGAAGATCAGAGGCATGGTCGGTGGGGCTAATTCTCAGCCTGTTTAATTTTCGCGAGTATCCAACTGGGCGGTTGCACTTTGATTCAATTTCCTGCAAGTGCCACGACTAATGGGCCTCCACTGACAACAGGATAGTCACAACGCCTAATGTGCCAATTCATCGCCAGCTCGAGGCGGCTCAGCCTAATCAGGAGTAACAGAAAGAGGCACATGTCAAAACTGCCTTAATCGGCCCCGTCAAGTGCACTTCTTGCCAAACGCAAACCACATGCAGCCATGAAGTGATTAATGGAGGGAAGAAGTCTTAGCAAGGATACATCCAGTGACACCCACCTAGATTTTCACTTAATCAGCACTTTTGAGGACATTGCATGAGGTTTGCAGAACAAAGCAGGATGACAGATATGTTTCTCTTCATCCTCTATCTCCTATGTTATAAACAGATCTTGAGATGAGTGGCTGGCTCAAGAAGGCGTAGCTTCTCAGTAGTGCATGATGAGTCTCTCAAACATTGCTGCGATAACGTGGTTTAGATAAAGATCAATTTATTGAAAGGGCAAGTGATGTTAATCTTACACTAATCAAGTATTAACAGCATATCTCCCTGTACCAGAGTTCCATTCCCAGCTAAACAAACAAGAAGAGCTCCCAAAAGACCAAAGTGGGCGAGAGGGGTGTCAGTATTTTGCTGTGTCATCCTTACATTAACAATTTTTCCCTTCTATTACTTGAAAATATAAAATGTGGTAAAATTTCAATGTAAAAGTGCAACCTTTCAGGTTATAATTATCAATTGCTTTTTAGCAATCACACCATTACCTTTTTAAGGTACATGTAATAGCAACTGATTTGTCACATTAACACTTGCTGCAGTACCTCTTGTAATTTCAACTTGTAAGGTTCCATCAAGATTTATGTTCAGCAAAAACATTAAGTAAACAATTTGAATTGAATCTTAAACATGGAAAGCTTCAACTATGTTTTAATATAACTTGTAGGAAACGATTCAGCATTAATATGAATGTTGAACTTCATTGCAAAACAAACATGTTTATTGCTTCACTGAATGTTGTCGCTCTTTTATCGGAATGAAACGCCGAGCTCTCATACATTCACCCTCGGGAGTTGACTCCCAATGATTCGGAATGGTTGTCACTTCCCCCGTCCCACTCACGCAAATCAACGCTGACAGTTGAGACAATATCTGGTCAGGATGAATCTGAGACGATTCACAAAGAGATGAAGTAAACAATATCAAGTTCTTGGCTCAGGTGCGTTTCTCGATAGTCAGGAAACCATATTTCAATCTTTTCGGGAGGCCCAAGTCTATGGGCTGACTACCCTGCCCCGACAATCCTGAAACTTTTCCATTGAGTAGGCTTCTCGGAAAGACGGTATCATATTTCAGGCGTGTCATCTTTACATAGTCCCATGTGGATTAGAGGCCTCACGAAGACAGACCTTTATGAGGTTTTGAAGCAACGCAAGTTGGTCAAACTTGATATACAGCTTTCCCACATTCATGTTTGTTTAACCACAAACAGAGAAATTTGTTGCTACAGTAACAAATGAGAAAAGGGATCTCCCCCATGGTTTTTATGAAAGAACACCATGTGTAGAAAAGGGACCACTTAAAACAAAATACATGTGACACTTGTACTTTCTGCAAACATACATATATTGAACATTAACCCATTTATATCATATTTTGCTCAAATACCCTCTGTTCTTCCTCTCAATATTATTTGATATTCAAATTGGGTGAAATGGATTAATTCTACTGGATTCTGAGGGTTACCCATTGATTCACTATTTTTCGAACATTTAGCACCCTTTGAGCAGTGTGTGACACAGCAGACTCACATAACTTACACAAAATGAATTGTGTAATGATTAGATCTATGCATTTAGATACAAATTTATCAGAGATTTCTATATCTTTGTAGTTGCATTCCAAACTACTTCAGGATTAGACATAACATTGTAAGAGTGCATTAACAGCAAAGTTCTTCATCATCAAGCTCTTTCGGAATCAAACCTAATGGTATTTTTACTGTTGTTAAACCAACTGATTTATGCAACCATTAAAACAGTGGAAGTAAGAGAGGCTATGAAATTGCATCTCAAAATGCATCATGTGAAAAGTGGATATTCAATTAACTAAAGGAACTAAATGCCCATGTATGAAGGTGAATGGCTGGAATGCTCCCTGATGGAGTGGAGAGTGTGTGCACTGTTTAGTACAGAATTGTAATTAAATCCATTGAATGGGTAATAATAATACTGTAAGCGCATTGGTTAGTGAACTAGTAAAGTGCTTTATAAGAAACTTCAACAACAATAATAGTCACAATTGTATAGCACATAATGTCACGTTTGTTAGTGCTTTACTTTAGAATTATTATTAACCCAGTCATTGGACTCATAGTGCACATGCTCCCCTCCCTGAGTATTCATTAATATTATTATCATAAGATGTTCTACTTTGGACCATTTCCTCCATTTAAGTTACATGACAAACACCAATCATGCTTGTACATAAACAATGCCGTACATCAAAAATTGCTTGCTTGTGAAAAACTCAACATCGATCGCTATATTTACTGACAACAAAAAAACTGAACAATTTTCTAAGGTCTACCATACACTAGCGTGGTCGACCTCTGCCTCTACCCATAGGTTTGTATGGTCTGTCGTCCGAGGGTGCGGATGACTTAGGGTTCTTGATGGTCTCGTCTACGGAGAGAATAAGACAGGCAGCCTCCGAAGCCGCCGTCAATGCATTGATCTTGACTATAGAGGGCTCCCACACGCAGGCCTCAAAGTTGTCGGCTACATCCTCGTTGTAGATGTCCACTCCGTACCACGTACCACCTGCTGGTGTAGGAAGATCAACGCAACATTTTTAAGAATTTTGACAACATTTAAAAATTTAAGAATTAGGACAAAACACGCTTTCAGATAGTATAAAATATGTAGCATTTACAAATAACAATTTAATCCCCAATACCAGTAAATGTGAAGATTCATTAATTGAGGAGGGTGTAATTCATAATTTACAGAATTTAGGAGCAGTCCCTTCAATACCAAAGGTAATATGGTTTAGCTGTCAATAACACAATACTATTTTGATGACTTTCACCAATATCAAAATACCCTTACAAGTTAACAAATCCTTCTCAAAAAGCTCTTTTTTTTCCAGTATTAATTCAAAGCAGATCGTCAAAATCTTTGAGTTTGAATTACTATTTTATGCCATAACTTCCTATAAATAAGCTGTAATCCCCCCCCCCCCCTTTTTTCCCCTTCAGAACACATACTCTAGGTTAAAGCATTCAGACTGATCATATCAATTAGCCTTGTCTAGATATAAAGAGGTAAACACCAACGTTTAAAAAAACTAGATGGAACTTCGACTGCGCGCAGTCGAAATGATGCCTCCGTCATAGAGCAATTTACAAACCAAAACATAAGTAATTTTTCAAATTCAAGTTCAATTGTAATCCATTAACAGGTTCTCAGAATATCGTGATTACAAGCAATTTCTCATATACATATATGACCCTTTGATCTTTGACCTCATGACCCTAACATCTACTCAGTTCATTGGCTCCGCAAGATGTCCCGAGTTAAACAGTAATCCATCTGTCAGTTCTAATGAGAATGCGTTCACAAGCTATTTTTGCATACATAATGAGCCCATGACCTTTGACCTTTGACCTCATGACCCAAGAATCTACTCAGTTCATTGGTTCTGCAAGATACATACATGATCTAAGTTTGGCAGGAATCCATCAATCTGTTCTAATGATAATGCGATCACAAGCTATTTTTGCATACATAATGAGCCGCATGACCTTTGACCTTGACCTCATGACCCCAAAATCTAATCAGTTCATCGGCTCTGCAAGATACATACATGACCAAAGTTTGGCAGGAATCCATCAATGGGTTCTTCAGATAACGCGATCACGAGCTGTTTTTGCATACATAATGAGCACTGTGACCTTTGACCTTTGACCTCGTGACCCCCAAATCTAATCAGTTCATCGGCTCTGCAAGATACATACATGACCTAAGTTTGGCAGGAATTCATCAATCGGTTCTTCAGTTAACGCGATCACGAGAACGGGACGGACGGACGGACGTACGGACGTACGGACGTACGGACGGACGGACGGACAACCCGAAAACATAATGCCTCCGGCTACTTCGTAACGGAGGCATAAAAAAAACCAAATGACATTATTGTATTATACGCTTCACACACAGTGTTCAGTGAATATGCATATGATCTTTGTTGCATGCAGTTGTCATTTATTTAAAAGTTGTTTTTAAATTATTTTTTTAAAAGCTGCGTTTTACCACTTTATATGTGAAAGAGCCTTTGCGGGTCAAGAGGAGGATATAACGAAGCCTTACCTTGTGCGTGCTTCTGACGGAGCTTGTTAAGTACATTGGTAGCATCGAAGCCTGCATTATCACAGAGCTGTCTAGGAATGATCTCCAATGCTTTAGCGTATGCACCAATGAGAATCTGCTGCTTGCCGGCGATGGTTCGGGAATGATCCCTCAAGTACTTGCTAAGCTCCATCTCGATGGCACCTCCACCTAAACACAAAACAAGAAGGTAATAGATAAATCATTGCAAGATAAAAAGGGATGAATTCTAAGAAAATAGATTGAATGGGACTACATCTCCAATAAGAAGAGCACAAACAGGTTAAACAGCTCTTATTAAAAAAATCTCAAACATTGCAAGATAAAAAGGGATAAATTCAAAGAAAATAGATTGAATGAGACTTCCCCTCCAATGAAAAGAGCACAAACGGTTTAAACGGCTCTTTAAACAAGTAGACTGTTATTCTCATAAACATCCCAGATGGTTCTGTAAAAAGTGTCCTATCCTGAGCCTGCAAGGATCATGTTACAAATTGAATTGATTGCATCTTGCTTAAAGGGGGTGTAAACTGATGTATACAGGGAAAAATCATCTACGTCACATTTTAGACAACTGCACGTAAACGAACGGACTTGATTAACTGTAGTCAGCGACTAAATCTCTAAATGGTCAGCCTTCGCGTAACAGATCAAAGTTCTCTTCACGCTTCGGTTTTGCGTATGTTGCATGCATGTGATTGCTGCTAGTCTTCGTGATCTCATATACGGCCCTAGAACTGCGTGAAGACGAAACTTACGGACTGGAAATTAATCCTATCATGCTTTTACCAAAACCAAAGTGGTGGGTCTTTCTTGAAATTTGCCCTACAATTGCTGCTCAATATAAGTTTACACGAGTTTACATAATGATTCCAAGATTGTAATCTCCCTACCTGCAACTACTGAATCATTCTTGATAGCTCTCCTAACGATCATGATGGCATCATGAAGGGAACGCTCCGTCTCTTCAATGAACTGCTCAGCTCCACCACGGAGGATCAGAGTACATGTCTTGGCCTTGGGGCAGCCTGTGAAGAAGTTAAACCTAGGAAAGGAGAGAGATGAACATCAAAAAATGTCTTTATATAAAGTTGTTTTTTAGTTACAGCAAAATATGACGACATTATTCTTTTTTTCAGACACAAGTTTATAGCATTTTCGAATTTTCCTTTGTTAATCAGGAAATTTTTCCCTTACAAAATGAAATATAATTCCCCCTACAAAATGAAATATTTGACATAAAGTGCCAGTCTCTAAAACTATGACCTTTGACATTCAGCCACAAAGGGGTCAAAGGTCAACTCTCAAGAGACTTATAGACCAACGCCTGGTCCAAGAGAGCAGAGACTAGAACAGTCCACTGCGAGCCTTGGTAGAACATTGGTCTGTTTAATATCCCACATTAGTAACGCCGAGAGAGATACCGAACAGATCTCTTCAGCTGACTTTAAATGTGGCAAGTCTTTTATGAGAAGAAAAAAATAATCACAGTACGGTGTATCAAATAAAGAACCGTCTGTTCACAATCTCAAGACCTTACCTTTCCCCACCAACTTGATTCTCCTCGAACTGCTCGCACGTTCCTAGGACATCATCCGTCAGGCTTTGTACAGATGTTTGGATGGCGCCTCCACAGGCCTGCATGGTACGCTTGAGATCATTATCTACCACTCGACCAGCACAGAACATGTCCCTGAATCAAAAAGTAAAATATTCTGTGAATTCCATATTTAATGATCCAACCAAAGAGGGGATAAGGACATGTCGTCTGCTTAGAACCAGAAGGGAGTCATCTTCTATAACTAATGCAAGTGATCATCTCAACTGATTTTAAGCATCCTTCTAATTCTAAAAATGCACAGCAAATACTAATGAAATTATGTCCACATGCACATGGGATTCTGACCATTAACACACCAAGTGCATAAGCTTTAAAGAGAAGGTTGAGTTCTGGGAAGAGGTGAAAAATAATTTGTGAGCATTACTCATTCTTATTATGCAAGTGTGGAAGAACATCAGTTAAGACATGTTCCCTGAAAAGCATGGCTCTTCAAATGCCTTCATATTCTAAATATGTCATGTAACTCGTAAAACTCGGGGGGTAGGATTTTTACGCCACGTGTTCGTGTAGTCCCATACACATCTTTCTGTGTACAGTGTTTTTAACTTTACCAAGACTTGGCCAATTTCTTATCATTTTGATTATTCCAGAACCTTACAATACACACAAATTCTTATATGCTAGATGATCAACCTTTTCTGGTCGATTCCACACCGTTTCTTTCACAATGCAATCGCATGACCAGAACTCAACTTTATCTTTAATGGTTGAAATACAATGGACAGTTCATATAGGAGTAACATTGCAGGGCCATTGTCAGTCTCTAAAACTATGACCTTTGACATTCAGCCCAAAAGGGGTCAAGGGTCAACTCTCAAGAGACTTATAGCCCAACGCCTGGTCCAAGAGAGCAGAGACTAGAACAGTCCACTGCGAGCCTTGGTAGAACGTTGGTCTGTTTAATATCCCACATTAGTAACGCCGAGAGAGATACCGAACAGATCTCTTCAGCTGACTTAAATGTGGCTAACCCCTATTATCCCCAAGTTTGGAATAGCTTTCATGTGGAATTATTAGAGAGTACTCAGTAGGCGGTGTCACACAGAGGTCAAAAATCCAGATTTTAGTTATCCTCTTAATTGCTGTCTGTCATCAATTATCCCAATAAAAATCCTCTAACGAAGCAAGAAAATTCTCCCTTGAAAGGATTTTTTAAGGGATTTTTCTGTGTGACACCGCCTATTGAGAACAATGGGGACAGAAAGATAAGAACAGTCACATTATACAAATAGGAAGATATAATAATAATAATAGGCATTTATATAGCGCCGTCTATCTAGACAATTCTATTCCAAGGCGCACAAATTAGTTATCACCCTGGCTTTAGCCTAGCTGCCATTACCGCGCTCCATCATTTCAAGGAATGAATTCCTGCCAGGTACCCATTTGCCTCGCCTGGGTTGTGTAGCAAATGTAGATTAATGCCTCGCCAAAAGACAGGAGTGTCGTGTCGGGGATCGAACCACGACCTTCAAAATTCAAGTCAATTGCTTAAACCACTAGACTACGACACTTTTACTACAGTTTATGATCTAGTCTAAATTACATCTCACTCTTTGGAACAGAATGAAAATTGCCATCATCAGCCTCTCCCTTAAAACTTTATGAACAGTATGAGCCCCAATTTTGGTAGAAAAGGAAGGCACTTTTCATATTCCATGTTTTAACATGTAACACTTAGATCCCTGACCATGACTTACTAACAATGGTTAGTCGTATTTGAACAAATAAGTAAATTTCTTTTTTAGTAAACAAATATTAAAGTTCTTCCCACCAACAGTTCCTTATACATACATGTAGACAGAGTTAAAGCTTGGAGATGTGGATAAATGTACATATAAAGTGTGTCTTCTTACCTATCAGCAAAGTACTGAGTGGCTACATCACCAATGGGAAGCTTGGAGAGGACTACCTTAGCGCCACTCAGATGGATCTTCTCAAGTTTGTTGTACAAGATGGTCCATTCAGCATCTACAATTGCTTGGTAATCCTAAAGCAATGAAGACAAAAAAAGTGACATTGTTATGATGCAACTAGGACAGATCTCTATGAACTAACTGTGACAATTGAAGCACCAATTTCAAACATAAAAAAATACTATATACTAATGTACTACTACAATAAAAATATGATAAACTGACATGAGGGGGAGGGGGAGATAAGATATCAGGACAAGAAAGCGGTCATATTTGTAATATCAACCTGTATCATATGCAGCACAAGCGATGTACAATCAAAGCTGCATTTCATTCTTATCAGTGTTCTTATTGTTGTCTTTTACAATTATACTCGTTAATGACTTACTGCTTGAAGAGTTTTTAATAAAAAATATCACAAATTCTATACCCACTTTGAAGATTCAAAACCTCTTATTTGTCGAATCTGCAGGCATGATATTTGCTACCAACTGCTGGGCAGTAGAACAAAAATCTAGACCGGGCATAGTTCTATTTGTGCATGAAAGCAAGAACGGAATGGTTGAGCATGAAGTTAACAATGGATACCCTTAGTGAGACAGGCGCAATGCTCTTAGAGAAGTAAAACATGGGGGCTGCGGTATTTAAAACAAATATTGACAGCATACTTTTAAACTATAGCTCCTTGACTTTGTCTATGGGCACAGTTAAGTTTCAAGATCACCTTGATCAATGGGTTTAACTGTGCCCACTCAAAGTAGATAATATTTGTATACTGTTGAATCCAAAAATTCCATACCACAACTACCAGCAGTTAAACTGAAACATAAAAAACGATATTTCAAGATGCTAAAGACTTTTGTGTTGTAATACTTACGTCAACACTCTCTACCCTGATTTCAGCATTCTCCTTCTCTGACTTGAGCTCCAACTCGACGTTGAGGAGGGCAATCTTGGGTAAGGCATACTTCTTGCGTTGCATCTCAAACCCTGCATAGGAGAACGTCTTCTTGAAGGCTACACCTGCTACCAGTATGGAATCCTGGGATGGAGAGGAAGAAAAACAGGAGACAGTGATAAACCTGATGAAAGTAAGAAAAGGTGGTTCTATGACACATGTTCCATTGACTATTGGTTGGTTGGTTTGTTTAACCTGCCTGCTATTAAGAAAGTGTGAGCTTGTAAGTAAGCACCTAGGGGACTGACGGCTTTAAGTCCTCTTGAAGGGACTTGGTAATGAGGATTAATGCCTTACCAAAGGGCACTAGCGCATCGACTTTGGTTCAAACCTTGGACCTCCCGGTTTAGAAACCACTGCTCTACCACTGAGCCATCTCTTGCTCTGTGGTCAAAATCCTACACTACATAAACTCCTAACATCAACCCTAGACTCAGCGCTACACTGAATCTCAACTCTAAAAATAGATTTTAAAAACCATTGTGACCTTAACACTGCACCTTTGACAAAAATAACCCTGGAGTAAATGTTTAACCCTTACTGTACTGGGCTATTTTTAGCACCTCGTGATCTCGGCCGTCGAAAGTCCGATGAACGTGAAAATTTGCATGTTTGTAGATATTTACGTAAGGGACAAGATGGTATAATTAGTTTTTTCCTAATATGCACATTTTTGTTGTTATAGCCTAATTAATTATGCAAAAAGCTAATTTTATGCATTTTACAGAAAACTCTACATATTTGTCTGTAGACTTGTGAAGAATGTTGAAAATGTATTGAATAAATGTTTCCTTCATCTCAAATTCATGAGGTTACATTATTTTTATATTTGAAAATACATAGGTTAATTTGCATAAATTTGCATAAATTTGCATAAATTATAGCATATTTTTGATGACATGCGCATACTAATTGTTATGTAACACGTTACAGGTATTTCCGATTCCGACGAAAAATGGTATCAAAATGTGCGTAAGACAATCTCCGAAAATGTCAAGGGGGGGGGGGGGCCTCCCAGGCCTCCCAGGCCCCCCCCCCCCAGTACAGTAAGGGTTAAAGAAGCAAATGTTGGGTCACAAGAAAAACATAGATCTGTCCTAATTGAAAGCAATCACAATGTGGAGCTGTTCAGAATGAATGTATCACACTTTAACCTCTAATATCAAGTTTTAAAATTTCATGCTACACTTAGATACCAAAAACAAAATGTCAGTCTCTAAAACTATGACCTTTGACATTCAGCCACAAAGGGGTCAAAGGTCAACTCTCAAGAGACTTATAGACCAACGCCTGGTCCAAGAGAGCAGAGACTAGAACAGTCCACTGCGAGCCTTGGTAGAACATTGGTCTGTTTAATATCCCACATTAGTAACGCCGAGAGAGATACCGAACAGATCTCTTCAGCTGACTTAAATGTGGTCAACCCTCTCACAGATTGTTTCACAATATTGGAGAACGCAAAGTTTTATATTTTCAAATTAAAGTTTTGATATGGAACGAAGCTGAATATCTGTTATCTGTTTCCCTATGCAATTAAAGTAATAGTTACAAATTCATTTAATTTCTATTGACATATATATGATTCTTTGGAATTAAATTAAAGACATAACTTTATGTTCATGACTCAATAAACCATACTCTGGAATTAAGTCTTGCACACAGAATGAGACAATTCTGCTAATTCAGTTAAACCTGAATGAGTCTAAAATAACAATTAACGAAAAAAGAAAAGTTAGATCTCAGTCTAAGTTCCCTTGTCGAGCCAGATTTTGAACACAAGCCTTAACCCAGTGTGAGTTTATATTTTAGTGGAATATAAGCCTTTCACTTTATAAAACATGCTATGCCATACCTAAAATCTGTGTGATATGACAAAAGTATGTTCCTGGAACACAAATAAAATATAGTGTTCATATGTGCAGACTGAGCAACCTTAACTTTACTCTAACCCCTTCAAAAATAGCCAGAAGCCTACCTCTAGTGATCCACCCTGGATCTTCTTGATACCGATCATGTCCATGGGCAGTAGGTCATCCAGACAGCTGACCGCTTCCACCACCATGTTAGCAAAGAAATCTTTCTGGCTAGCGACCAGTTTGGAACTAAGGGTTGTGGCAGCGCACTTCCTGAGGAGACTCCTGTGCTCTCTGTAAAAAAAAATGATGGATTGAATGTGATGGACATTCCAGAATGTGAAAAAAGTTCTTGGAGAACATTGAAAAGGCTAGATATGAAATTCTCACAAATGTCAGCTACATGAGCTTATCAGTAATACTTTATAGGAGGGATTAGACCACACTGCAAGGTCACTGGACAGGTGGTTATCTCATCAACTCAGCTCTCAATTAACATAAGAAAAAGAGGATAATGGGAGACCAATGGTCACTGATAAGGCATTGTTTTCTATATAGAGGGAGCAAGAAGCTACAAGTAGGACAGTGGGGCTTTAAATAAACGTGTGCGCTCAGCACCCATGGCAGGATACTCAAATAGTTATAGTTAATAGTCTAACAGTTTATGTTATCAACTTCATTCAAGCAAAGACAAAGATTACATTTGTAAGGGCTAATAAAAGTAAAAATGCTAGGTTTACAGATTTTGAGCACAATAAATACAACTAAAATTTGCATTTTAACACTGCTTTCTACATTCTTGTTATCATTTTACTTCGTCTCATCTAAAGAGTTTAGGGGGACAATAACGCCACACCCTGTTTTTAAAGGGCCTTATTTTACTTATTTCTTAGAAGATTCTATCCACCTAATAATAATACCAGGTGAACCATGAAAATAATTTGTTTTCTTCAATCATGTCATCACTGTAGTATGTGCAATTTGGGACAAGTTACCTTGCAGGGAAAAAATATTTATAACATTTTGAGGGCTACTTTTCAAGCTTGCTTGCACGAAAATAACACTCTTTAATTCGTTTTGCAACTATATGCAAATTATTATTTTTTAAATATTTTTTTTGGGGGTGGGGGGCTCTTTTAAGACTTTTGGGGGCTCTTCTTGGCATTTCAGGGGCAAATTTGCACAAGCCCCAGTGTATTTTTTCCCCGTTACCTTGACCTTTCTCAAACACACACATGGGCGCAACTTACTCTACATCTTCCTTGGGTACTCTGACTGCTATCTCCTTGATCTTGTCCATAGCTAGTTGAGTGGCCTTCCTGTAGGCCCTGATGATCACCTGAGGGTGGACATCGTCTTCTACAAAGGTCTTCACCTGCTTCAGGAATTCAGCTGCTAGCAGGGTCACTGTGGTAGTTCCATCACCGACCTGTGGATAAAGGACAAGTGAATCAACTATCCTAAGGTTTCCTTGGCTTTCTCCTCCTACTATCAAATAATCCTCCTCTATACAACTCGACTAGAGAGACGTACAGATTATGGCTGATCAGAGGCAGGGGCTCCAACTACCAGGTCATTGAAACATTAAAATACAGAGTTGAATGGTTCAATGGAAGTTAACTGCTGGGGTTACAGATTCCCTCTGTTACAAAGTGCAGAATTCCTCTTTTGCTGCAATACCCCTTTCAAAGTGATAAAGCTTAGGGTCACATTACCCATGCCCTTCTACAATTATTTAGGTTGGCATTCGTGCACCCCCCTCCCCCTTGACTATCCAAAGAGGCTGTCAATAAAACTGACAACAGGGCAAGTCGTGTGTTCATAAGCAGCCTCCTACATGAACACTTATAAATGAATCCCAGCAGCATAGAATAAGTGTTATTTGCAGATGTTATATGCAGAAACCAACTGGCCTCTGCAGTCATGTTCTGAAACTAATAGTACTTTAAAAAATTGTCCCAAAGTCTTTTCGGCAACAGCCCTTTCTCTTTTTTCAGAAATGTTTCTTTGACATACCTCTGCATCTTGTGACTTGGAGATTTCTACTAAGGTCTTGGCAGCTGGATGAACGATGTCAAGCAGTTTGACTATTGTGGCTCCATCATTGGATATTGTTACCCGGCCTGCATACAAACATACAATAAGGGAACTCTCAAAAGACTTGAATGATTGAAGAAATCATAGATCTTTTCTAATGTTCATAATTATTGATAAAAGCCAAATACCATTTATCAAGTATTTAAACTTTCTCTGTAACAAAACATTAGAGAGTTTGTTCAATACTGCCTAGAAAAAGATGAAACCTCTCAATTATTATTATTATTATTATTATTTATTTGGCAAAAACAAAAAAAATCATTGAATACAAAACAAGAGTACATTTGGAAAATAGTCGCATGGATACTGGTAAAAGAAAAGATTAACTAAATAACTGTAACCTAAAAATAAATTTGAAAAGGGTAGAGTTTCTACAGGTGCAACTCCTTGCAAAGTATGAATAGGGCAGCACAAATATGACTGACATTTATACCTGACATTTCCTTGTAAATTTACTAAAAATATTCAAACATGTGTCTCGTAATTATTTTCTGTCAATTTTCTTCATAACAAATATCAATGTTCTAAACAGATTTTCCAATGTTGTAATGTACAAAGAGAAAGAAAATGTGTCCATACCGTTTCCCTCAACGATGAGCTTGTCCATACCCCTTGGGCCCAGGGTGGTACGGACGGCATCAGCTACAACCTGGCAAGCATTGATGTTGCTTACCACTTGTGATCTTCCCTGGGAAGCCTCCGTCCCTTCCTTCAACACGATTATCTGTGGTTGCTGTAATGAGAGGTACAGTTTCAATGATTAGGTTTGCTGGAATAGCTTGTGATCCTGAAGGCCAAATGAGCTGTTATATGTAAGAGAGGGTTTTGCTCCATATGCCCATAAAAGGTCGACTCAGAACTCTAATAATATCTTGATCAAAACACTGATTAAAACATTGGTTCCGTCGTAGCTCCAAGATTTCCCACTTTCTTGAACTGACTGACTCCCCCCCCCCCCCCCCGGGATAAGAAGTTCCAAACGTACGGAAGATGTCTATGCGCTTATTTTTTCGCTAGCCCAAAGGGATTACATGCGATTACAGTTTGAAAATACCCTTTCCCCCACTTTTTGAATCAGCAAAATGGGGAGGCATGACTCTGCTCGGCGCAAATCCATGGTGACAGTGCTTTCATAGACACCTCATTTGCTGTGCATCGCCTTCAGGATCAAAGAGAATAAAGTTTGAATCTCAATTCGGTAATAAAAACATTGACCAATTTTGCATGAGCACGCAATGCACGTAGTAGGGTGTTGCGCACTCAATTTTTTGGTGCTAAAATCCTTCCCATAGATATTGCACGAATTCCTATGCAGTCTACGTGCATTGCGTGATCATGCAAAATTGGTCAATGATTTTATTACCAAATCGAGATTTAACCTTTATTGCTCCTGATCCTGAAGGTGATACTTAATAAATGAGGTGCCATATGAAAGAGCAGGTTTTTTTCTAAATTCTAAAGATATTTTGGTCAAACGGCCATTTAAACATCAACATCGTTTCCATCGTAGCTTCGAGATTTCCCACTTTTGAGAAATAACGCCCCACGAAATAAGTAGGCCCAGTCGTATTAAAGAAATATATATATCCCCACGAGTCTTCCATGTTGTATCGTCGATTCAACATGGCAAAGAGAAAGTACGCACGCATTCATATTTGCTGCGCCGCTACCGCGCATGCATACTTTTTCTCTTCGCCATGTTGAATCAACGATACCGAAGAATCATCCCCTTTTTCCCATCGAAGACTTCTTCAAATTATAATTTCAAGTGGCCTGCGAGATGCCCAGAGGAGTCAAGCAACCTAGCAAGTCAAAATTGTAATTACTCCCTTTGAATATTTTAAGATAATGTCGCCCAACCCGCTGTTTGAATCGTTTTCCTATGCAGCCTCAAAAGCTCCGACGCCTTTCTGGAATTACCCAAACCCATGGTGACAGCGCTAGAATCTGCACATGCATGTATTTCACGCTCAGTAGCTCAGTGGCGCAAAACAATCTTTGTGCATGCTACCCGTGTTGCAAGCCCTTGAACACACTGCTTGTGTGTACGTGTGCATTCCAATTGCTTGTATGCGTTTGTGTCTTCGGCGAAGGATGCCGTGTATTAAAATACACCCAAAGCCTCAGTTCAAACAAGGATTTATCGTTCATGACGTGAAAGTCTTTGTGCAAAGCGTAAAATGCATCAAGGAGTATCCAGGGCTGTCAACTTTGGAAAACTGCTTCGAGGGATATTGTATGCAATTCTCTTTGGCTCAACGAGGAGGGGAGGGGGGGGGGGGGGGGGAGGGGGTTGAAGAAAAAAAAAATTGCTCACTACCCCCATACGATACCATATGCTGGTTCATTTTACACGTTTGGTGGGAGGTTTTTTCATAAACTGGGAGATTGCACGAGAGCTAGCGGGAGGAAGGGCGTGGTGGCGGGAGTCTCCCACTACAACTACGAGCTGGTCGGGTGGGACAGCGGTAGAGTGAGTGCGGTGTCGTGAGACTCCCTCAAAATGCGAGAGGGTTGACAGTAATTAGTTGACAGCCCTGAATATTATCACAGAATCCGTTTTTGACTTTAAGGATCACAAACGCGCGAATATGAACAATCGTCCACAAAAATGCGGAACATCCATATTTTTAATGATGCGTCTCTTCGCATATACACTAGATCTATCACTAATTCACAATCAGACACCCTACTACATGTAGTCGGTGATTGATCTCTAATATATAAAATTATACCGTTAATAATACGAAATTATCTCACACTCCTACGAGAACGAGCTAGATCGATGATCCAGTTACTACACAAACAGGACATAAACATGTATATGTCGGACTGGACACAAACGCCCATAGAATCATAAGTCGCACGTGAAAATACTCCCCAAATAGTCACCTTTTAAAAGTTATAAAACAATTGAGAACCAAGAGAATGCTAATACATATTTACAAAAATCATAATACTTGGAAAATAATGTAAGATTTGTCCAACTTTACTAGATTGCTTCGGATTTGATATTACTTACCATCATCTTGGTGGATATGGATCTATAGAATCTTCGAGATGCGATGCAATTGTTGCCATGGACGATAAATTTCGCCAGCTGGCGCTCTATACTTTACCCAGCAAAGAGATTCGATCCAGTATACGATTTTATCTTGGCAGCGCATCAGCGAGAGCTCAGCCAGCTCGGCTTCCAGAGCTTTTTTCTTTCCTCCTTCTCCTCCTCCTCCTCTATCCCTTTTCTACTATACCCAGTTCTTCTTCTTGTTTTTCTTTTTCTCCTTCTTCTTCTTAACAATAATAATGGTGTATTACTTTATAAATCGCTTAATACGTATGATTCTAGCAGGGGCGGTCGAGCGACTTCCAAAGTGGGGGGGGCACCAACAAAAAAGGGCACTTTCTGAAGAAAAAAGGGCACCTACAGTGGGAAATCTCAAAGCAAAAATATACAAATTTTTAGACATTGGTACATACCCCTGCATTGTGATTACATTATCAGGGATGATTTCAATATTTGTTTCTCTTCATACATCATACAAGATATCGCTTAAGCATCATACTTTACAGTTGGGTGGGATGTCTGAATATGCATTTACGAGCGAGCGAAGCGAGCGAGAAAAATGTTAAAGATCTGCGAGGTCGCAGTGCGAAAAATTACATCTTATAAAGAGGAAAAAAGCCAATCGTGATGGGGTTATAAGCACATTCTCATAACGGAAGACTGAAAAGACCTTTGATAACTAACATAATTATATCATCTTTAAATGCGAGCGAGCGCAGCGAGCGAACTTTGGGGGAAATTGCTCTTAGTCGCTTTAAATAAGGGGCATGTTTAATGATTTCATGAAAAGGGGACAATTATCGAAAGGGATAAGACACTTATTAGAAAAGAAAAGGAGCACGTGTCACAGTACAAAGGATAATTATAAGAGGTGAACATGAGGCATTTTTTCACCTGAAAAGAGGCACTCACCTGATGAAAAAGAGGCGTTTACGAAAATGGGAAATAGGCATTTGTTGACGGAAAAAGGGCACCCATCAGATTTTGATAGGGGCATTTATAAGAGGTGAAAAGGGGACAGGTCCCTTATTAGAAAGGAAAAGGGGCACGTATCATTATTAAAAAGGGAATTATCAGAGGTGAAAAGAGGCACTGACCAGATATGAAAAGGGGCACTTATGAAAATGTAAAAGGGGCACTTATAATAAAGGAAAATGTGCATTTGTTGAATGAAAAGGGGGCACCGTTCAAATTAAAAAAAAGGGCCGTTATGAGAAGGGGAGGGAGCTTTTTCTTTTTAATGGGGGCACTTATCATAAGGAAAAGGGGCACTTATTAGAAAGGGAAAGCGGTAGTTATGAGAAGGGGAAGGAGCTCTCTCTTTTTAATGGGGGCACTTATCATAAGGAAAAGGGGCACTTATTAGAAAGGGAAAGCGGTAGTTATGAGAAGGGGAAGGAGCTCTCTCTTTTTAATGGGGGCACTTATCATAAGGAAAAGGGGCAATTATTAGAAAATAAAAGGGGCACATGTTAAAATTAAAGGTGTGCTCATCCGAGTTTAAAAAAGGGGTAGTTATTAAAAGGAGAAGGGGCACTTCTTACAAAGGAAAAAAGGCGCAGTTGTCAAAGTAAAAGGAGCACCTCTCAGTTTTGAATAGGGCAATTATCAGAGGTGAAGGGGGCACTTATCAAAAATGAAAAGGGGCACTTCTCGTACCTAAAAAGAGGCACTTACTAGAGATTAAAAAGGGCACTTATTAAAGATAATTTCAAGATTTATGAGAATGGAAAATGGACACTTATTGCAAAGGAAAATGGGAACATGTCGAAGGAAAAGGGGCACGTGTCAAAAATAAAAAGGGCACTCGTCAGAGGTGAAAAGGGGGGAAGGGGCACTTTTATTTAGTAATAGGGGCACTTGTCAAAGTAAAAGGGGCACTTTTCCTATGTAAAAGGGGCACTTCTTACAAAATAAAAGGGGCACTTTTCCTATGTAAAAAGGGGCACTTTTGGGGTATCTGAAAAAGTGGGGGGGCACTGTGCCTCCCCTGCCCCCCCGGGAGAACCGCCTCTGGACTCATTCTAGGCGCTTAACAAAAATAAAAAGTTAACCTACAACTATATGATACATAATTTTATATTAGAAAATCCTAACAACAATTATATAATAATAACATAAATAACTGATCTTTTCATAGCGCTTTATAAATTAACAAACGAAATATAAATTACATTACAAAGTGAACAGATAAGTTTTAAGTTTATTTTTGAAGGTTTCTAAAAATGGGGACTTGCGTATTTCATGGGAAGTTTTTTCAATGAACCAGTGGCGGATCCAGGCCCCCCCCCCCCCACTCGGGAAAAAAACGTGTAAAAACACGTTAATATTAACCTTTTTTTTAGATGCCCCCCCCCCCCGGCGCTCAAAGGGGGGGGGGGTGCGATTTTTCAAATATTCGAGGGCCTCAAAAAAAAATAGTGCTCACTACCCCCGCCCCCCCCCCCCGTCCCCGCCCCGCCCCAGCCCCCCACCTCCCCCCCCCCCCCGTCCCCGCCCCGCCCCAGCCCCCCCTCCCCCCCCCCCCCCCCGTCCCCGCCCCGCCCCAGCCCCCCACCTCCCCCCCCCCCCCCCTCCTCACTGAGAAGACGAATGGATGAAGTATGAGTTTAATTAGGAGTGATGAACTCTGACAATTATGAAGGAGCAGTGCCTTGTGTGTAATTTTGAATTAGACTCGGCGTTCTTCTTCTTCTTCTTCTAATTCTTTCTTAATCTATCTTCATCTTGGATCGAGTTGTGACGTACATTCCCCGGCAATTCAAAATATATAGTAGGCAAATCTTAAGTTCTAAAGTGCAGTTCACTTGTTACGTTTCAGCTACATTAATATTGAAATGCTTTGTCAGGCACGTAATCCTACCTCTTCCCCTCAAAGGCCTACATGTCACAGCTGTCAAACGACCCCTCCCCCCCCCCCCCCCGGGATGGATTGGCATATAAGCTAGTAACTCATTGGTATATGTTACCCTACAATGTGGCTCGATCTTTATACGTTGCACAAACAAGACTGAATAATCATGGACAAAAGGCGTGACCTTACTACTCAGACACTAGACACACAGCAGAACTGATTTCAAACCGATTTAGTTTCAGTTTCAGTTTCAGTCGTTATTCTTCATTTCCAACAGAACAGTAATTTTGACAAGAAATCAGATATACAATTCAACATTCAATTATTTTACATGGTTTAAATTTATGAAATAGAAATTATACATAAATATCCAGTATAATGTTTTTTTTTAAAGTTTGCTTAAGTTTTTTAAGATTAACCTGTGGAAATGGAGGGATCCACTGAAAAGCAGAGCTTGTAAAATGTGGATGCCTCAAAATAATGATAAACATAATTTTTGTAACATGTCAAAATATTGACTCGAACAAAATATATACAGATTAACCAAACGTGGCAAAATAATACTACAATTATAAATCTGTAATTTGAAATCTTGTTACGATACGTACACTCTAAAAACTGAAATGTTAAATCACCATTTGAAAGGGCCGAGGAGTGACCACTCTTTCAAAATGGTAGATTAACACTTTGAACGTGCTGGATCCAACACTATAAAGGTTGAATCTAGCAGGTTAAAAGAAACAATCTGACATTTTGAAAGAGTGTTCACTCCTCGGCCCTTTTAAACTGAAATTTAACATTTCAGTTTTTAGAGTGTAGTCTCGTGAACACTGGAAAGGTCAATAGAGATAATGACGACTGACAGATAAGACACAAAAGTATAATAATAATTTTTAAAATATATATAAGACAACAGAAAATAAACCAAGGAAAGAGAGAAATTGAAGAATAGAAAATGTTGCTGCATAATATGTGAAGAGTAAAGATAATCTGACCTCGGTGCTATTATTATGTAACGTTTCGTTTGGTACGTTGTCGGTCTTTCGACCGTTCAATCCATTCAGACTTCCCATATCAAACATGAAATTTGCTTAGTTTACATAAATTATCTATACAACAAAAGATATATGATAAGGCAGTCAACATGCATGTATAAAGGCAAAAAAATATATCTAAAAAAAATAGGCCTATCAACAACAACAAAAAGAGTTTACAAATATATATACAAGAGAAAAAATACAACATGAGGTCGGTAATTTGGGCATAATAATAATAATATTAACTATTTCTTATATGGCGCTTTTTCATATAATATAAGCAGATTGAATTGGCAAAGTAATTGGAAGAACATAATTTCATTTTCATAAATCAAGTATCTGGTATCAAATACACATATCAATTTTCAACATGATTATCAAATATTAAATGTATAAAAATGTCAAATATCAGATGTGGATAATCATGAACAAATTAAACAGCGTCCAGAGAGACCTTGCCTCCGACCCATACTTATTGATCGCCATTGATTAAGGTGCAAAGTACATTGTTAAAAGAGGACTTATATATTGGCAAATCTAGTCGTACCATCATCACTCCCTCTCCGTTATCTTTTAGGTCATGTGACGTCCTATAATTATCATGTTTGCATGGCAGATCTACTAAAGACAGACTCATTGTAATGAGGTTCAGCCGGTCAGGGTATATTTCATAACGAGGTCTCTAGCGTATTAATGTCAGAAAGGGAAACGCTTCCCATGTTGCCGTCCGCTGATACGCTAGCAGCGCTGATCCATCCGCTCCGCACATACAGTTATCACATATATAAGAATGACCGACCGTGATTGATTAAGTCATACGGGTACAAAGTCCAATGTCATAATATCTTGTATATCGTCGGTATTTCATCAGACGGCAGAGCATTAATTTTGTATGTCTTTCCAAGTACATTGCAGGAAACGGTTTCCACGCGAAAATACAACAGGAATTCATTGATAGCACTTTGATGAATTATTGAGACGCGTAAGGAGGGAATTGAGGACAGCATAATAATATTTGTATTGTTTGGTGAGTACTAACCTTCTTTTGATTTGTTTTTGTTTTATATATTATGTGACAAACGTATCACGTAAAGGGAACCTTAATCACAAGCATAATGCTTCCAAGGTTTCCTCCCTTATTAATGTAGATTATTTTTAGCATCATTTCATCATTTGTATTCAATGACTTGCATAAAATCGTTCTTACTGTTGTAATACCACCCATCTATCCAATATGCTCATGTTTTGTGACCTTGTTATATGCGTTAATTTGTAAATTCTTTTCATATGCAGTTAATGTGGAAATAAATCTAAATAAAAAGTGGGGTGACATCCAAATATAAGTTGATTATTGTTAATGTGCAGGGCTGCATACAACTCATATTTTAATGTTCAAAGTTTCTAACATCTAAATACATTTCATACATTTTTTAATATTTATTTTTAAAAAAATCTCAGACCTGCTAAACTCCACCCTAAATATTGTGACACCCTCATCTTGTGACCTAATCTGTACTAGGTGATGGACAATGCTATATATAGAAATTGCCTTCGGTTGATTTTCAAGTTATTTTACCATCGCGTTCTTGGCGATATATTACTTCCTCATCATGCCCCGCATCATGCGTATACTTCATGTTCTGAGACCTCATCAGGCGTGCAAAATTAAGCATTTGTTATGATTTATAAAGGCTCTTTGTAATAAATATTGAACAAACTTCACCCTTCACCCAATCCTTTGTGTACACTTACACGTAGGCACACTGGATTGACTAGAATGGCAAACGATATATCAAGTCGAAACACTGCATATGTTCTTGTATGGAGAGTCATGATTTCTTTTGTATAAGGCAGACTAATGGAACATGGTTGCAACTCCGAGCTTCACGCCTTGCGAGCGATCATCAGGCAACTGGTAGGATTACTCTACAATCTACAATACGTTCAAAATAAGGCTTAACTAATACAATACAATACAAAACGATAAGATTTACTCATGGGTGAAGGGGCTATTGTAATTGCTCAGGTACTGCGATGGAATTTTAAACATGGGAGGGGGTATCGCAAAATAGTCTCCACCAAGGTGCTAGTACATAAATATATATATATATTTAATTAAGTATAGAAATGCAACCTGTGCCTAACTGAGAAGCTTGCCATCACCAACGCCGAGAAACAGACACTCCTGAACAAAAGACCAGAACTCATCTCCAAATGCCGCCATGAAAACAAATTCTACCTCTGCAACTTCAAAAGAGACTATGCTTAATTAAATATATATATATTTATGTACTAGCACCTTGGTGGAGACTATTTTGCGATACCCCCTCCCATGTTTAAAATTCCACCGCAGTACCTGAGCAATTACAATAGCCCCTTCACCCATGAGTAAATCTTATTGTTTTGTATTGTATTGTATTAGTTAAGCCTTATTTTGAACGTATTGTAGATGATCGCTCGCAAGGCGTGAAACTCGGAGTTGCAACCATGTTCCATTAGTCTGCCTTATCCAATATATATTTTGCTCTGCCCATAAGCATTATGCACTGTACGGAGGAATAGACCAAATCTAAGTATATATATATCTTTATTTTGTATATATATATCTATAAATATAAATGCCTATACATGTTTCTGTTTCTGTTTCGGTTGCGTCGGTATACTCAGGGTTAACTGTACACTCAGGGTTTACTGTACTTCACCAATGTGTAAGAGTTAAAATTAGACTCCTTTCATACTTGTATTTGGTGCAATTACTATTTGTTTTTTTTTGTCTCTTCTCCTATACATATTCATTTCACATCATTTGCTTACACCTTCCTTCCTCCATTCATCTCCTCTGCATACCAATTCTCCCATCTCACCTGATATGTTCCTTTGTTCTCTTCCATTCTTTATTCATGGTCTTAGGTATTTCCACTTCTTACTTATCATTGGTTCTCTTCTCCTATTCCTTTTGAATATTCAATCTTACTGTTAAATCCTATTTTGCTATTGGTTTATGTTGTATTTCATTTGAATATACTTTGCTTAAAAATGTTCCAAACGATGCTGCATAGCAGCCTACAAAAATAATTTTCAAAAACCCAGACAGACTGGACATCTTCTGAGTAAGTTGCATTGAATTAGGGCCCTGCTACTTAATTTGAGTTTGAGATTTAGGAGAGGGGATTTATTTGAGTTTGGCAGTGTTTTTTGGATGGATGGTGTTTTTGATTTATATTGGTGAGAGGTTATTGTTATTACTTTACACATGTATTACTTTACACATGTAAATACATATTACATACATTTATATGTATTTTTCGGACCAAGGTTGAATTTCGGCCGGACTTAATGCTCTTCAATAGTAACCAATCTATATGATCCGTAGATAACAAAGATAACTATGTACAACACAATTCGTCTCATTTATCTTTCATCCAGTCGACGTCCATCATCAGGCTGTAATCAATCCAAGTCTACAAATCGTGAAATGGATCTAGATGCGAGAAATCCAGTCCCAAATGTCCAGGTCCTACCGAAGTATAGTCTAAACGACGAGGATCTTCACATTAAGGCAACTGGTCTAAGACCCTGTCAGCGTGTCACCCTCAGGGCTCACGTCTTCACAGAATCGGGAAAGTATCGGTTCGAATCCCATGCTCAGTACGAGGCGGACGACAGAGGGATCGTGGAAGGTGACTATGGATATAGTTATAAGATAATGAAGCGGATCCTAATCAATGATTTAACACGTAATTTATTTTACTAATGACCGGTCATTAGTAAAATCATGTTATAAAACAAATAAAACATCTTAGAAAACAAATAATACACATCATTTTGTTCGGGCATTAGTAAAATTACCCACACTTGGCGCCTTCGAAACAGTTCAAAGGTACCTTGTGTGGGTAATTCTTACTATTAAATGCCCTCACAGCTGTGTATTATTTGTATATCATCTTGGAATTTCAAAGTAGATTATATTTAGTTAGTCAGGGGATCACAGTTTGGCGAGACATCTCTCAACTGTGTGTTTTTCTGGGGGTTATAGGGTTCGTCTGTAAGCTTTCTTCCTTGGTACTCATCTAGAGTAGGTATCTGGTTGGAAAAAAATAGACATGCTAACTGTAAAATGTTCCAGGAATTTAAATGGGGTGCAATGTATGAAAAACGTCAAGGTTAATGTTTTATTATATTCTCCTTATTATCCAACTCTTCCTCATCCGTTCTTAGTATTTCGTTGATCTTTTTTAAATCTACCCCCGGCACCTGGCTTCCCATCATAAGCTTTTACCCATCTCCTCTCTCCTGGTATCCCTTTGAAATGTCTGACTATAGTATCCACGTCTTTCTTTTTCTTCATTATTCATCTTGCTTATTTTAAACCAATATTTGCTTCCTTCAGTTGAGAAGGCACCATCACTCGGTGGTAGCTACCAGGGTATCGAACCCATGGGGTTGCTCTGGAGCTTAGAACCAGCACCAGAGATCGCTCACAAGAGACCTCGTCTGGTCAAGCGCAACATCCAGAAGCCTTTCATCTACACCTTCCAGCTGGTAGATGATGTAGACAATGTAGTGATGCATTCCACTTCGGTTGAAAGATGGTATCTAGCCAGCTATGTGGAACGGCATCTGGTACAACACGGGATTGCAGATGGGTGCTTGTATATTCCGAAAAAGAAGGGTATGTACCCCACAAAATTGTGATTCTTTATTCAGTTCAGTTCAGTTTATTGAATTCCATCTTTAAAAACATTTTTACAAAGTAAAAACATGCAATTTCATGTAAAATATAATACATAAATTGGGATAATGTACTTGTTAAATGATTAATGGGTGCTTGATGTATTTCAATTAATATTTTAATTAGTAAATTTCAAGTTGACAAGAGACAGATTTACCAGTCTACAGTTCCCTCGAGATATTCTCAACTCATTACTTGGATTAAAAAGGGTAAAAATTAAAGCGCCATGACTCATAATAACTAGACAAGATTTAAGTTAGCATGAATTGGGTAAACACTCGAATTTAAAAATTAAAGCGCCATGATTCATAATAACATAGACAAGATTTAAGTTAGCATGAATTGGGTAAACACTCGAACTTAAAAATTAAAGCGACATGACTCATAATAACTAGACAAGATCGAAGTTAGCACGAATTGGGCAAACACTCGCATAATCTTGTACTTGAAGATAAAAACACTAAGAGTAAGGTAAATAAAGAGGAACCCGCCACCTAAAAGATTGTGAAATAGGGTTTAAAACAATGTAAAGATGTAACAGAGAGAGAGAGAGAGAGAGAGAGAGAGAAGGGGGGCAAATATAATGCGTATCTAGTTTTCACATTATAATTTACCTTCAAAGTGTTGCAAAACCTGTCTAGAATTAAAAACGACACATTCCTGTAAGGGCCACTTGTTTCTGCATTCCCTGAAAGTTACCTTCATAAACAGGCTTGTCTGCATACAAAAACAAAACCATTTTCATCTGAAAGCAAAGTTTAAATGTCCCAGTGCCATGTAAGCAAACTTCACTCACTCGAAAACTGATGTTCCCACTTTATTCACAATCAAAGGTTCCTCTGATCCGATGCCGGTGCTTCTTGATATCAGGGGTGGTGTTCCTTTCTTGGTAGAAGACAGACCCTCCTTGATGGCATCTCATGGCTTTGCTGTCTTCTCCATCGATTACTTTCGTAAGATGATGGCTGGTAGGAGAATCTTCAATGAAAAATGCAGATACACTGCAAAAACCAGGGTGTTAAATATTCAACACCAGCATGGAATAGAAAAATATCAACACCCTTGGTGTTCATTTCATGTCCGATTGGCGAAAAATAACACCAACGGTGTGAAAATATTCAATTACAGGCTGATGGTGTCATATTTGGTGTTATAAAATCGCACATGCGCATAAGCTAGAGAATTCGACGAAAATCATTGGACGAAAGTTGTCATATGATCCGATATGCGCCTCTGCAGCTGCGCGCGCACAGCTAGACGAGAGCATGTGGCTAGAGAATTTCACTGGCACTGACTTGAAGTCTTGATTCTGGAGTAGGCCCTAGTAATTCTTCAAATTAGGCCTAGATTCTAGATGTGAAGTGATCGAAGTGCATGCAACCATGCCATTAAGCGTCAGGGTCTGTTCAGCGGATCGAAGTATTAGAAAATACCTGCCTATAGATCCAGAAGACACAGTAGGATTCTTTGAACTCAGTAAGTGTACTAGGCCTACATGGTTCTTGTTTGTTATAAACTTTTATAGATCTAGCCTATAGTATTACGTGTTCGTCAGCTGGCGCTAGCCGCGCCTGTCGTTGGGTAGCCCAGGCCTAGAGGTCTAGGCCTACTATGCCTTGGCTGTCCGGCCGGGTTGGGTATCCGGTCAGCATGATGCCATTTAATATTTTATGGATTTCTGAAAAATTATCATTGATAAATACTCCAAAGGGCAAACATTCATGATAGATCTAGATTCTAGGTCTATATATTGTTATTTAATACATATTTGTTTCAAAATGTAAAGGAAAAATCAGTAGATCTAGACCTAGTCTAGGGCCTAATCCTGGGTTTTTGCAAAAATATCAGGTCTAGGCTAGATCTAGATCTAGATCTAGAAGTCTAGACTAGATCTAGACTCTAGATTTCTAGGCCTAACAGTTAGATCTAGAGTTCTAACGTTAGATCTGCATTGACATTAGGCCTAGATATCTAGATCTAGATCTAACGTTAGATCTAGACTAGATCTACCCCATTCATGTAATAAAAAAAATGCAAAAATAATAAACATGGAAATTCAATCTCTAGATCTAGATCTAGATCTAGACTAATTGTAGCGCACACAACAGTCCAAACTCCACCCCCGGTTGAGCTTGATGTCCCATTTAACAGTTTTAGGGTGTATTATAAAATGGCTCTAGATCTAGCCTAGTATTTTAAGCATCGTGATTGGTCAATACGCGTCACATGGCATTGACAAATTTTTGATGCAAGCACGATTTTGCAGAAATGAGTGCAGAAAAAGCGCAGTAAAAAGTTATATTGCACGGTGCGTACGCGTGACCATGGGGATCCAGTGCGCGCGCGTACGCGTAGTACTAGTACGCTCCCTCGAGTGCATTGTAGGCTATAGGCTACGCGTAGCTAATATTGTACGCTCCAAGATCCACCATGATCCCCAGCGCAGCGTACGCGTTAGCTCTAGCTAGAGCGGGGTATTATTAGAAAGCAAATTTTTGTTTTACTTTTGCCTTGGATTTAGACCCGTTTTGACTTTTGGATTTTATAATGAAGCCAGGAATTTCAGCTGTCTGATGTAGACTCGTCTCTAGACACCCTATGCATTTTATTTTTAATCAAACAATGAATCCTGTAGACTTTTTGGTAAGCCTGCAAGGTCTTAGACCCTCATTTTATTTCTAGAACCAACATAACTCTAGATCTAGATCGAACTCTCGTATACTTAAGATCTAAACTTTTGTTTGTTGCTGTTTGTGTCGCTATTTTATAAAACAAATAACGCACTTGACCCTGTTGTGCGAAACGTAAATGCAGTGTTCGCTCGGTTTCTTCAGATGGTTCGCACTGTCAACTCGCCGCAAGCGGCTTGTTGCACAGAGCGGCACCAATATAAAGAAACCTCGCGCGTACTGCATTCACCGCTATTGCACTCTGGGACGTGCGTTATTTGTATACTAATTACTATAGCACAGTTGGGCTTGTAGCAGCAGTTTTTGCAGCATTCGTTTATTATGACTGAGCCATCAATCTGTAAGAAACTGAAAAGTGCACTGTGATATTTATTCTCATTTATTTAATCTCTCCTACAGTCAGAAGAAAATTCCACATAAGGGATGGGGAAGATCTCGTACTTGTGGATGAACAAGAAGGGTTTGGTATAGACGATGACGTACTAGGAGATGTGGTGACCAGCAATCCCACAGTCAGCCTCATGGTGCTAAAAGAAGATGAAGAATGGTCTGGTAAGTTTTGGATAAAGTGCATTATAATACAAAATTGCAAATCCCTGCTAAATGTGATATCATCAGTAGCGGATTCAGGATTTTAAAATAGAGTTAGAGGGGTGCAAAGAGCATATTAAAAATAAAGAGGGGGCGCAGATCACAATTTAACCTTAGTAATGTGTATGTTCACGAGGTAATTCTCAAAATATAGAGGGGGCACATGCCGGGTGCGCCCCCTGCTGGATCCGCCACTGATCATTGTATGTGCATGCATGTTAAAATGAGTCAGCGTTCGTCTGGTAGCAGGTACAGTGTAGGCTTGTATGCTGTATAGAGTCTAGGGAATTAACATTTTGCTTTTCATAAGCAATAAATGAATGTGCAGTTCAAATTACAGGCACAGGTCTCAAAACTTGGTGGAGGAAAAAAAAACCTACCCTTTTTTGATGACGTAACCTTGCCACAAGAGCCGTGATTTGTGGGCGGTCAATGATCTAAATTCGAAGTCTAAAGATTATAAAAATTACAGATTCTTACAAATTGAATTTTTTAACAATGCAAACTTGCATTTAAAAAAAAAATGTCTTTAATTTAAATTGTGACCCCACCGAACAAATTTGAGGAGGGGACTGTGAAACGGGCGCCATACTTGTGTGTTTCTGTGCGTGTCTGTGTATGATCTTTGACCTTTTGCTTCAAAATCCTACAAAAGGCCACTCCTATGCCATTTCTCATCTGATTTTGATTCTGTTTGCTTTGTGTGATAGCACGAGGTGAGGGCTATTGGACCCATAGAAACCAATAAGTTTAATGGTTTCAATAGGGAAAGGGAAATAAAGGACCCATAGAAACCAGCAGAAAGGTTATATTGCTCCAATAGAAATCCAACACATACTTCTGTTGGTCCATTAGAAATCCATCAGAAAATTTTTGCTGATCCAATAATAGGAATCCAACAATTTCTTTCTGTTAGTCTTATACTTATAGAAAACCATCATGAAAGAATTCTGTTGGATTATATTGGACAGACCTATTGGTTTCATTGGGAACAGTCCAATGGAAAAGTAATTGAACATTTCTAAATGCTAGTATTATAATTCACTTAGACATGAATGAATGCATCAATTAACAAATTGTCCATTAAAAAATGCTCAAGTATTATAAAATTAACAAATGTGTCAGACCAATATAACTTAGCTGGTTTCTGATGGTTTTAGACTAATAGAAATTTATATGCAGTTGGACCTCCCTTATCCAGTCTCCTTTATCCAGATCACTTGAGAATTTGCCTATTTTACTCAAATAATTAGCGGAACCAACAAAGATTTCAAGCATACTCGTAATATCGCAAACTATTTGGGTTACTTATATACATTATTCCCAACATTGTTATTACACATTCAATTCAATTTTTCATGATCAGAAACATGCATTCATTCAAACTCGGCAACTGCATGTTTTGAATATAGGATTCCCTTATGCATGTTAGTGCTGATCCCAAGTGTGGGGATAAAGGAGGCCCAACTGTATTCAATTCTACCAAAGTTTAAGATGCCAGTATTCATTGTTTTTTAACAGTGCTCATGGCTTTATATCTTTTTTTCTTTATTAAAGGTTCAGATGTACATAGCATCACAAGTGCAGACACTATCAAGGTGGATACCAGCTCCTCTTCCCTGAGTAGCTCAGAATCTGATTCAAGTTTTTGCTCCAGTAGAAAGAGGCCACGATTAAATGCCCTCAGTGAATCAGGTGCAATCACTGACAACTCTTGTGAGGTAAGGTTAAGAAAAAATTGTTTGCTTCATTTCAATCTCAGCTATCATAATCAACATAATATAAGGGACTCATCACCTATACGGATTTCATATTATTTAAAATTGAAAATGATATTGGGAGAAAAAAAATACATCTAGTGTAGTTAGAACTAACATTGTAAATTAATATTTCCTGTAGTAAGGTTTTTGTAATGGTATAGGTTAACATTAGGCAACTAATTTGATTTCTTTTTTGGTACATCTAAGCTGACGACTCCTGTAAGATATTGGCCATCTTTTTTGCTTCGTCATCTGTCATAAGTTTTCCATAAACTTTTACAGTTTCATTTTCTTCCAATGGGTGGTATGATTTCAAACAAATGATATTATGTCTAGAGGTTTAAATTGAATTGCCAAATTTTATGAAATGTTTTAGAAATGGGAAAGAGAAATGAGGTAAATAATCATCGAATAATACATCTCATGATCTGGTTCCATATAGACCTCTGAGGGTATCAAGGAAAAGGACTAATATCAAAATTAAAAAGTTGAAGATGAGATGCATCGATTGTTACATAACCTTTATTGTAGTGTTCATGATGATCCCAAACATAGAATAGTTTCCTGCTGTATTGTTTGTGGATATGAAAGTAATGAACACTGTTCAGGGCACTTTAGACGGTCTCCCCATGGCATTGGGCTTGCATGTCTATATTAAGTAGAAGGAACTCTCATTACAATAAACACAAATTTACCTGTAGCCTCATGTGTCCCCTCGTGTGTGTGTATGTGCGTGTGTGCATATGTGTGTTTGGGGTGTTTGTGGGAGTGTGTATTTAACAATATTTAAACTATTTCAAGCTCTATAAATAAATATATTATTATTTAGAATTTATGATTATTGGCCATATATCAATTTTAATATCATAATGTACCTATATAAATTCATAGTCATTCATAAAATTTCGTGCCCTTAGAAAGGTCAGTATGAATTAAAGTGCCTGAAAGTGCATTAT